CAAGTCTGTCAGCGGCCATTTTTCAAATGACATCCCTCCACCTTTTCAGGCTCTTGGGACAATTTTTGGGCCATTCTTTTGCAATCCCACAAATTCTTGGGCCACACAATCTCCTCTTTTCCAAATAAACTGTAGGGGTACTTTTTGAGCGCCTCGGCCTGCCGAAGAATTTCCCTTGAATTGGGCAGTGCACCCTTGTGGGCCAGTTTACTTTTCTTCTCGAAAGTGAGGTCAAGTGCATTGACAATGCTTGGAAGATCTCCTTTCATCAGTCGCCAGACTTTTGCCCCGTGTTTCTCGTTTGGCTCCTTCAAAAATTCTACTTGAACAAAATGCCCATTTTTAGCGAATCACTTTTTAGAAAATTTCACTTTTTTCGCTGAGTTTTGGATGAGGAGTGAGGCAACTCAAACCCTATCCATTCGTGCAAAAAATGAAGGAAAATTAGTGTAGTCCCTAGGACTAGAAACCAGTTTACTGCATCGTGCTTAGGGGAGTCGAGCGACCACGTGTTTGTACACAAAAATGATCCCTGCGCACAACGCGTGCGTAGTGGCCCATTTTGGTCCATACACACATGGGCCCAGCACACAACTACATGTCACATCCGTTGAGAGTGTGTTTGCTCTATGCCTCTGACGTCTACATCGTCCAGAATCTATCTGGCCTAGACAAGCAGGTTTTCGCACTGACATTTTCACATGTTTTTCACATCATTTTCGCATTTTTTTTGCACAGTTTTCACTTTATTTTTACACAGTTTTTGTATTATTTTCGCACACAGATTTTTCGCAAGGCATTCACAAATTTTTCGCACTGCGCCATTTTCGCACATTTTTCATACTGCGCCATTTTCGCACATTTTTGACACCATTTCTGCAATTTTTGCACACCTTTTTGCACCATTTTCGAACCATATCAATGCAAATTTGCTAGGGGAAAAGTAGCAGTCAAAATGTGAAATTCGCCAGCGAATGTGAATTATTTTCCCATTTTTTCCCAGTCGTCGTTTTGCCATTGTTAACTCTCAATTCTATTGTACTTTGTGTATGATCTTCAAATGTGGTTTGTGGTTTGCTATGGATGACCCTAAAAAGCGTATTGTATTTGGGACTGAAAGGTCAAAGGCCTTGTCATGGAGATAACTTGGAAAAAACTGAGCAAAGAAGTTTCAAATTAGGTTTGTACATTCTATTGATAAGCCCACAAGCCTATGGCATTAAAACCTCAAAGGTTAATGGTAAAACTCTACATGACTATAAAATAAGACATTCTTGTTTTGTTCAAAAAATTAAAGATATGGATGTAGCTTTGGACTTTGGCAAGGCATTTGTGTTGATACATTTGTGTTTGTCAACACACCATTCTTGTTTTTCAATATGTCTCAGTGCTTGGCTATCCAAGTCATTCAGATTGTGTCACAGCTTAACATTTCACTGTAAATGCCCCCAATTACCATCCAATTACTCCATGGGTTATTGGCGTTACACTGCCAACTCGTGTGTGCATGTCAGCGTACATGGGCAGTCAAACCTTGATTTAGTGGCCACTTGCGGTACTGGCTGTTTGTGGCCACTATATCAAGGCTGTACACATGTTCATTGTACATGTACATGTTCACGACGAAATATACATGTACATTAACATACACACATTTGTACAACTGTTTGTACACGTAATACATGTACACGTACTAATAAATACTACAATGCCAATTACAATGCATAAGTCTGAAGCAAAAACTTTCTTTTGCATGTAAATGTATACAAGAATGACAAGAATATATCAGTATACACATACACTCAATGGATACTGGCAAGAGTTTAGTGTCAAACCCACTACAAATAGAGTCAAGGTGTTGTAAACAAAAAGAATACTGGCAAGAGCTTTGATGGTAAACTTGCTACAGATAAATTAATAAATAAATGCGAGCAAGAGTTCAGACCTAGATCCATAAAGCTCAAAGGATGCTGGCAAGAATTGATGCATATCTGCATTCTGTTTACACGCTACATGCATTCCACATTGCCCCCCCCCAAAAAAAATTAAACTGTATACATTCACAGACTATCAGATATCACCTCAGCCTATTTTTCACACAGTATTCATGCAAGCTGAAGTTCCGGAATGTGTGTATACATGTACATGTTGATGTCCCTTTTGACTTCAGTGGTTCTCTTTTTTGACGTCGGAAAAAAATATTCATCAGATCGTTTTTGGAATGTCCAGCAGCAAAAATGAGGAAAAATGATAATTTTAAGAATTCTCAGAGAATTTCCTGCCATACTTTTTACCCAACCAACCCTTCCTCAGGGTTAAAACATAAGAATTAAAGGGAAGCCGTGCACTGCACAGGACAGATGAGATGCATTACTTTGGTGAAAAGGATTCAGTTATTGCCGTTTGTCTGTCAAGTTTGGCCCTAGCATGTTTCATGACAGGATGATCCCTGAGTCTCATAACAGACATAGATGTATCCAAACAGTCAATGTCTCCTTCTTGAAGTGCATTATTTCTCACAGTCTCAAGACTCTTAAGCATTTGTTGAAGGCCGATCTTCTCAGATGGCATGAAGTTTGGCGGTGTGTCATCATCACTGTCGTCCAAATCAACTGGGGCCGCAGATGAGTTGTTTGCACCCACAAAGTTGCTGATCAGTTGCCTCTCCCAGTCTCCTTCTGCCGTATTGTGGTTGGCGACATTATCATCAATAGCGAGAAATTCTTGCCAATTTATATCCTTGTCAAACTGCTCGCTGACTTGCCTTGTCAACATCTCTAATTCCTAATCAGCTTGCTGCCCGCCAGTAGCTGGCCCATCTTCCTGCTGATCCTCTTTCTGCTTGTCCTCACGGCTGCAACAATAAAGTACAATAAAACAAACATTTAAAATGTTGATGAACAAGCACTAAAACAAACTTAACTGAAAAATTAATTCAACTTTTCCTTCTGACCATTAAATGTTAGAGGTGGATAAGTAAAATTAGCCAACACTTGCTTACTATGAAATGTCTGGACAGATTAATCTTTCACTTTATGCATTTCACATCCGTCTAGTCAGAAGTTTCACTAATTATCAAGCAAAGGCTCAATGAAAACTTTTGCCACCTTTTGTCACCAAAGCTGCTGGCAACAAAGCATTTCTGAATTGTCTTTGATGACATCTTTTTCCATGCCTCATCTATCCAGTACACTGCATCCACGACAGTGATCTTAGGGCTCAAGTCAGTTGCTGTTTCCACTGAATCCATGTGGCCGATCAGATGGCTGAGGAGGTTCTTGCGGTAGCGTGCTTTCACAGCTTTGATGATGCCCTGGTCTAGAGGCTGAAGCTTTGAAGTAGTATTCGGTGGAAAAAAATGTAACTTGACGTTGGACAGCTTGACAGGAGGATGACAGGTGGCATTGTCGAGGAAGAGGAGGATATTTCTTTTCTGTTTCTTCATCTGGCTATTCATTCTTTTCAGCCAATCTTCAAAAGTTGGTGATGTCATCCATGCTGACTTGTTTGATCTCCATGTGAACGGTAGCTTGTTGACGTCTAGGTTTTTGAAACACCGTGGTTGGTAAGACTTGCCAATCAGTATGGGCTTGTCCTGTCATGTTTAAATTTATGTGTATTTCTTTAGTAAGCTTTAGGCCATTAATTTTTTCATACATGTAATTCCATTAATATTGGTGGGGGAGCTTCAAGAGTAGAAGGAAATAAAAAAAGAAAAAGAAATTAAATAATAAAAAGAAAAATTAAAAAGAGATGCTCACCTTTTCTCCAGAGAAACTGCAACACAGTGATAGGGTTAGACGTTCCTTTGCCCATTCCCCCCTCGGCAGACCTCATTTTTGTGAGTCAAGGTATGGTCAGGTAGTGCCTTGAAGTATAGGCCGGTCTCATCCGTGTTCCAGATATCCTCTGGTTTATAGCCCTTGCAGATGTGACTTAGTCTGCATTTCCAGTCACTGGTGATGGTGATATCAACATCCGTGCTTTCACCGCTCATTACTCTCGCAACAATATTATGGCGCTTTCTGAAACATTCTAACCATCCGTTGGAAGCTGTGAAGGTTGAGGTGCCAAGTCATTAATTTGTGTTTTTCCTATGCCCAACTCAAGCGCTACATTTCTGGAACTTCTTCCCGAGTGTACTTGCCTCATAGCATACATCTTTCCTCCAAAGGAAGATCTTTTCGACTTTTGTTCATGATGTGGGCCAGCCTTACAACGTGGACAATGTTGGATCAACGATTTACAATAAATGATTCGATAACGCTGGCATATGCGAAGCGAGCGATTTATTAGTCTGTGCGCTTGCTATCATTTGTATAAAATACGAGTGGACAGTCTGGGAACTAAACAACAGGGAAAATCTCACAACAATAGAGGGCGCACTTCATTTTAAGGCTGGAGTACACAGGTTTTACTGCAATGTAATTGGACACAGATGATTTGATCTGGGCTGGCCACAGGCCGCGTTACACAGTGGCCACAAAAGCAAGATGTGATTACAGTATGTTTAGTTGAGAATCTAACTGGGACCAACCGATGCGGCCAGTTTAGAGAGGTGGCCGTTATAATAAGGTGGCCGCAACGCAGGTTTGACTGTATATATGCATGAAGCTCAACAGACCTAAAGACTATCTGTGGAGTGTAATAAAGTCAAACATTTTTTCAGTATGTTAGTATGCGATTATGCAGTGTGGTTAAAGAAAGCACACAGAACTTCATATTAAAGTGATTGTTGCCTTTATTCTGAAGTTTTCGTTTTTTCAGTCAATGTTAAAATAGCCATGGTTTTATCAATGCATATGCAGCCATTTCTTTTTTGTGCAGATTTCTTTAATTGATAGCTGTAACCCTGACCTTTATTTGTCCAGTTTGCTCATTATGACAAAATCAAAGGTCTACTTCTCTTCTTTGTTGTATACATTTACATGAGCATGATAACAAATAGTCGAATTGCTGTTCATTTAGTGGATCTCTTTTTACTGATATTTTCATTACAGCACTTGTCAGATCTTCATCATACTGTGCGTTGTGAGTGCCTGTCATTGATTGGAGCTTTAAGTACAATCGAAAGAGTGGGAAGTAAGAAGGAAGAGAAGAAATATCAACGTTTGCTATGCACCTACATAGATGATCAAGACCCTCGAGTTCGGCAAAGTGCTTTAAAAGCGATGGTTTGTGCTTCATTATTTTATAGAGTAAGGTCAGGTTTGCATGCAGAAAATTTGTGATGTGGGCCATCTGTACCCACATATACAGGTATGGTAATTAATTAGAAACAGTGATGTTGGCTCAATAGTGTACAACAATAGTATCAGCAGGGCTGCTAGTATTAATGTGCCAAGGTTCACTTTGGGTTCAGTTTGGACACCGTTTAGAATTTTTTTGCCCAAATCAGTTCAGGTTGGGTATGGACATATTGGTACACACATGGGTGTGTAGATGTGTGTACCGGTACCAATACTTTGGGAGCATGTTGCACAGCCTTTATATTGATTTCCACACTGAATAATCCCTGTGACTTTGCAGAAGCTTTGCTTCCGCCCCGGCTGGCTTACCACACATGCAAGCACTCACTTGTTGGAAATAAAGAAAACCAGACCAGAAGGGCCAAATAGACTTGTAAATGTACTGCAGGCACTATTTACTCCTCAAAGATTGTGTGATGCATCTTCTCGTGTTTTTTATCGTTGTGTAATCTGTGTTGTTTATTATTTCAAAACTGTTAAAACAAAAGAAGAGCCGCATGGCCCCACCCAGCCAGAACGCTCACTCAGCTGCCAAAATTGGTAATTTTGAGGACTTGTGAAAGCTGATGTTTAAAAGCGATGCTCATTCACTTGCTGCTTACACCTTAGGAATGTGTACCTTATTGTGGCACGAACCTCAACCTTAAAAGAGTGGCGGGGGGGGGGGGAAATTTGCCCTCTTTAACAATTTTCCTGATATTGCCACAGTGCATTTTTTCAGGGGTTGAAGGGTTGTGAAAACTATAATTTTTAACAAATTTCCACACATTTTGAAATTATGCAGACGTGTTTTCTTGTTATATATGTGATTGTTTCATTTGTTCATGCATGTTTTACAAGAAATCTTCCCAGCACGGCCCATCCCCTTTAAATGACCGTATCAACAGCACGTTACTTCTGATCGAGTTCAACCTTCACATTTGTAATGATAAAGGAGTGTCTTTACATGCATGCCAACCAGCTCTTTTAGGGTTAACGTGGAGTATTTGAATTTTCGCCTCGAACTTTAGTGTCTTATTGGAGAAATATTTATACCTCAAATTCACAAAAGGTAAAAGTTAATCAAGCTTCCAATATTCTGATTCATAATTCTACATTGTATGTTTCATATACAGACTACAAAGTTCCAATGAACTTTTATTTTCTCCTGGTTTTCCAATTTTTTTCCCGAAGTACAAATAAACTTTTATATTGCCCCCCAAATTATTTTGTTAACAAGCTTGTTTATGTGAGTGGAGGTAGCAATGAGTTACTACAGTATCCTGCTTTCACATACCCCTAACCAGCCTACATATGCAAATTTCCCGTGCGCCTATTACAATTCGCTTAAAAGACTTGATTATATATACTACCCCTTGACCCTTCAAAGTGCACTGCAGTCCCGCTGGCATGTTCTGCCTTCTTTTCTCAGCACCTATCGTTTACAGATGTGTCTTTGGGCAAGTAAACTTACTCCCCTGCAAGCTGGGTCTGTGGCTCTGACATTCACCCCCAGTTCTCATTCTCTGAAGCCCTCTGGTGGTCTCCCTACTACCAGTGCCTACTGTGGAAGACGTCTTTTCATCGGTGTGGCTCACCAGTCTACACACTGGGACGGCCCCACACCTCCTGGCCAGCTACAACGACCGCCACAGGCCATGAACTACAGCTATCAGACGAACTCCACAGCGGTTCACTCAGGCGGGACTTAGATGCTAAAATGCCTCTGGCTGACGTCCTGTTGCAGGCCATGACATTTTTTTCTTTGGAGCTTGCCCGATCGGACAGGCCATGCCATAAATTTACTTGCCCGAATTGGATCAACACTAGCCCAAGATTTCTTGGAATCCACAATTGTCATGGTTATTTAACTTAGCCTACTGCATGCATGCAGTCTTTTATTAGGGCCCCCCCCCGAAATAGTTGTGCTTCCAGTTACAATTACATGCCTCTCAAAAATAGGTTTGGTAGGTTGGAATTTTTTTTGTTTTTTGACTCAATTTTTTGTGCTGAGTGAATGGCATGAACGGGGACGACAGCTTCCAAAGTGATGAACACCTGTCTAAATCTATGTAAAAATTTCTACAGTCGACAATTCACAAGAATTATGGGCAATTCACACAGTGTGACACAAGCAATCACAGCAGCAAACTGGCCAACAATGTATTACGTGGTAAGCATGTGTGAGGAATCCAGACAAGTGGATGAAAAACCTTGTGCCGCTGCGGGAAATTTGTTGAAAGATGCTCGCTTCAAGTACGAGCAAATCAAACTCAAATTAAACTCATGAACACAGAAAATACATTCATAAATAAGAGACCAAGTTCTGTTAAGGAACTTACAGAAAACCTCTTGCAACATTGATGTTTTTTTGACCTGTGGCTTTAGGGTTGCATGCATGTATGGCCGATGTAGAGAAATCGACCAGAACGTACAGTACAGACTGGTTCTGGTTGCTACATTTCCATCATGCGTTCCTTTGCATGGATGCAGTGTGGCAGGAACCAGAGCAGCTTCGTTTACTGCATTGAGCTGTGTGCAAGTGTTTTCACCACTGCGTCAGCAAAACGTGAATGGGAACTCGTGAAAATAACGGAAGTTTCTTTCCAGAAATTGCAAATGCAAGCAGGAAAACATACAAAACAAGCTTTTTAACATGAGAAAAAGTTATTAAAAGATGTTTTGTGAAGACAGAAAAGACGTCAGCTTTTCTGGACTTGCCCGAATGGGCACACCCAGTTAGAATTTTAATTGCCCGAATGAAAATTGTCCCAGGCTATCGGACAGGCAATTTGTCACGACCTGTCCTGTTGTCTCTGGGGACGGCCCATTCAGAGACGCCACCTGACAGGCAACCTGCGGGTTCTTCACCCACCATATTTTGGGCTACAGAACTGCATCATCACTGTGGTTTTCGAACGCCACTTATCACTGCAGCTTCTGGCTATCAACTAGGGCTATCCGACCAAGGTGCTTCCATCAAAGCCCCCCAGCAGCTCAGCCCACTTCAACCCATCACGACCTGCATTCAAGACATGATGCTGATGTCCCGGGTTTTAGGTTCTTCTTGGGGTTCTATGGCCGGATCACTCGCACGTAAGAAAAGTAAACACTCATCGTCTTCTGCTGGTCAAAATGCACAAAATCTTGCTCTACACCTAGGCAAGATATTTCTTCATCGGTTTTGATGACGTCGCTCCGCTATCTCAGAGATGCTGCCCTCTTTAGCCTGCTGCTTTAAGTTGATCTCCACTCCCCTGGCGACTGCCCCATCCCGGATCTGCTGCGTGCTGATCTCCTTCCGGATCCTCACCCGGATTTGTAGCCGGCTCCGCTTCCGAATTCACACTCGACTCTGCTGCTGTCTTCACATCTGGTTCCAGCTCTGCATACGGCTTCACATCCAGTTTCATCTCTGGCTTCACATCCTGCTCCGTTGATCTGTCTAATACACGACGGTGCCCATTTGTTTTATTTTTTGAATTGAATTTGTGCGTAATAAATTCTTTTAATAATAATAATAATAATTCTTCAACTTATCCGGGTTCTACTCACGACTCACATCTAGCTCCAACCTGTGAACATGCTATGCCAGGTGGCGTCTCCTTTCCGTATTGGGTACAGCTGCTGACGTTTCCCAGTCAGACCTATGTCTCTGCCTTGATCTGTCCAGTTCTTGGGACATCCAGGCATGCAGGAACTACATGTACACTCTACCTGGCCGCCTTAACCCTCCTATGCTCAAGTCACTCTTTAGGTCACTTGGTAAACACCTCAAAGAAGCACAGCTGTGTCGCGTTGTGCACTGCACCAACATGCAAGAGAGTGACCTTGGGCACTTGTGCATATTTGTGCTGTAAAACTAAAGGAGGGTTAAGTCATATGCTCGTGCTTCGCCTAGTGAATGCGAGTCTGGGTCACACGTGCTAAACCCTGACTGCAGCTCGAACAATAGCTCCTAAGCCTACTGCTACAATACGCAGACCGCCGGCTAGTACTCGAGACTTCCTGTCCAAGATAGAATGGAGCCATGTTGGATCCTCCTCATCTCTCTGTTCTGGTCTCGCCAACCTTGGTTTCCAAGACTGACAAGACTGCTGGTACGACGACTGTTGGTCCTTCCGGTCATGGAGGACACCCTCAGTCAGCCCAAGTGGGAGATCCTCCACCCAGCATCAGAGGGTCTTCACTTGACGTGCTGGACGTTATTCCAATGATCCTTCAGAGCGTCAGGCCTTTCTGCAGATGCTACGTCCATGGTGGCCCGGGGTCAACGACTGTCCATTCATAAGATTTACAACAGCCGACTACAGCATTTTACTGTATGGCACGATGACCACAATGTTTCTCCGGCGAAACACCTGTGAGTTCTGTTGCAGACTTCCTCACGTACTTGTTCCACTCGGGCCTCCAGGTTGCCACCATCCGCAACTACCGTTTGGCCTAGATGGCGGTCCACTCAGGCTTCAGCGATGGACCGACTGTCTCTGATAAGGCTGCTATCCACCATCTTCTCTGAGGAATGTTTGTTGAGTATCCTCACGTCAAATGCCTCGTCTTTTCTTGGGACCTCGGAAGCATTCTACGCATTCTTGTCAGTCCCCTCTTCGAACCACTGGCTGATACGTCTGACCTCCATCTCAGCATCAAGCTGGCGTTCTTCCTCGTGGTCATTACATTGAGACGAGGTAGTGAGCTACATACCCCGTTGATTGCTGATGGTCACATCCGCTGGGACCGGCACAGGGTTCGTCTCATCCCAACCATCGGGTTCCTGTTTAAAAACCAGATGCCTACATGTACCTTCCAACCTTCTGACATATTCGTTCCTGATATAACCTCACTTTCAAGAGATGACACAAGAAATGGTGTCCAGTTTGGACTCTCAAGTGGTATCTTGCCAGAACAAACATCGCCTGTAATCTGATTCCCAACTTTTCGTCACCACGACGAAACCCTCTCACCTGCCGTCAAACAACATTATTGCCTGATGGCGGTCTCAGCCATCATCTTCGCTGACCGAGACTGGTCGGCACAGCATAATGAGATGACCCAGACTAACGTCATGGCCCACAATGTTTGAGCCGCCTCTTCGTCCTGGTCGTACTTCAGAGGGCTTTCCCTAGCTGAAATATGCCAGGCGGCTTGTTGGAAATCTCCCTTTACCTTCACCGAGTATTACCTAAAAGACGCTCTGTTGAGAGAAACGGCCCATGGCAGAGCGACCCTGTGCTCGGCGGTCCAGGCAACGTCCAGTTTGTTCTGGGCTGGGCAGTGGATAGTTCGACTAAGGAGTTTCACCTGGTGAGTGCGCACTCTTGCAACATCCGCCTTAATGTTTCTGCTAGTTATTATTCTTCAAGGGGAACGGTGCCACTCTGCATATGTAGGCTGGGCAGGGGTAAGTGTCACTAGGAGACCCGACCCACTCCATGTGGGGAAGGAATTTATCAATTTTAAAGAACCTCTTAAACGTTTTTGTGGGATTTTGTGAAATTTTTTCAAGTGCGCCAAGTTAGAGGACACTCAACTGAATTCTTGCCCAATTTCCAGATGCTGACATGTTCAAATTGCAGACAAAATTTTGTGACACTGAAATTGTTCACAAAGGTTCACCAGTATTTAAACAAGTGAATTCAAAGTTTTTCAGCAAAGACGTTTGGCAGTACTGTATGAAAAAAATCTAGTGAACATCGAAGTGTGCCATGTAAAACTCCACATGTATTTAAAAGCACTTCTACATGCAGCACACGTGATGCACACTTAATTTGCAAATTTTGTTGTGTTCCGGCTTATACTCCGCGCAGCCTATATTTAAAAAATTACAGTTTGAAGCAAATTGAAACATCGAAGGGCTCGCTACAAGTACTCTATTTATAGAATTGCTGAATTTTTTCCTGCCCCATTTACAAATAACTTTGATTTTCATAGGAATTTCTTCTGTTATAAAAATTAAATATCCAAGGAAAGTTGCAATCAGACACTTTCGAACTATTTTCCCTGTCCAACAGCAGATGTACTTGTGGACAGTGCTTGAACAACACTATTGAGGGTTTTAAGAATACGAGAAAAAAGTATGTTCAAATTGGATCCTCCGCTTTACACAGAAATATGTGATAGAGTGAAATTTTGAGCGAAACATTTATTTTTTCCAAAACAGAGATTCTGCCACCTGCCTCTGTCATTTGCATCCAATTGGAGCCAAATAAACTTATTATAAGTAGCATTGTTTTTAAGGATGGCAACATTGGCTTGTTTTTTTAATTCATTACCAAGCACATACATGTAAATGCCCACAGCCCATGTGGCGTATTTTCCATCAGTCTTCATTCAAACTGATAATGGCAATTTGTTATTTGAGATTTGCAAAAGCATGATAAATTGTTCTGTTGTTGAAAGACTACCTGGTATATTTAGGTCACAAACGATTGTTGTGATGTGAGATGTGATGTTTTAACACCCAAGACATGTACATGCACATACATGTACATCATATCCCATCCACATCAACACTTGTCAATAATTGTTTCATTCTACCTCTGTTTTGAATTCTTTTTAATATGTTCCACACCTGAAGTTCTCAAGAGACAGCACAGTTTGATAGTTTTGGTTGCAGCTTTCTTGAAGAAAACAATATCTACTTTTTGAAAATCATTTTGGTTTGATATTTGATGTGTGATATCCAGTGGTGGAGCTAATATACATTTTATTGTCTAGTCATGTGGTCATTCTGGGTCAATGAAAATACAGCATTTAAGACTGAGGAATAGTGATACATACCAATTATCAACCTAGTGTACCAGTGTGCTTGTATCTAACGTGTACTTGTACATAGTGTACATATGCCCAGTTTCCCTTTTTGAAACTCTAAGCTATTTCTTTACAGCTTACTTTACATCAACGTGGACAACGCCTTGACCTTTCCATCTACCAACAATCTGTCAAGGTGCTTTCTGATGACTTTGATGGAGTAAGGTTGGCTGCACTCAAGCTCATATGGGTACTAAGTCATGTCTACCCCGAAGAAATGTTAGCTGTGCAGGGATCGAGTGAAGATAAGTTGCGGCTTATTGATGATGGGTTTACCAACATCTGTCAAATGGTAATGACCCTCTTTACTGATGTTAAAAATTAACTTGGTTTCCACAAGCATTGGTCAGTGTCTTCTAGGAATTTTCCAAAGTGTAGTCCAAGAAACCTTTGCAAATGAAAGCATGCTCATATATTTGTGTATTTGTAAGTAACTAAGGTTGAGGTTTTAACATCTTGACTTACAAGTTATCAACAGCTGATTTACAGTGTTTAGATCTTCACAGCTGATAGGAGAGCTTACTGGTTTGTTGAGCCCACAGTAATGGTCTAGAGAGATAGATTCATTGGATTACTTCGGTGGCGCTTCAATCAGTCAAAAATAAAAAAAGAGATACGTTTGTCAGTAGACATACGCCCTGTTTTGGTTTTTAGAAAAACAGTCTAAATGCATATTCAAGATAAGTATTATATGAAAGTTTCATCAAAGTACCAAGCTGAAATTGATGAAGGAACAAAAATTATTATATGACAGTTTCATCAAAGTACCAAGCTGAAGTTGATGAAGGAACAAAAATATGTACAGAATCTTCCGTATGGAGAAAATCTGCACCTTTAGGCATATGTGACATGACCCATGATAACGTCATCACGCCTTCATTATGTTAGCTTGATCTGTGCATAAGGGTCTGCCGTCATCACATCAGGTCAATATTTGTTTATAACTCTTCCATTTCTAGTTATCTGCCAAGTTTCAGCCCAATCGGACATGTACTTCATGAGATATTGGGCTCTAAAGACTGTACTTTTAATGTCATGTGACTTGTCATCTGATGACGTCATCACCACATCAGGTCAATTTTTGTCTATGAAGCTTCCATTTCTAGTCATCTGCCAAGTTTCAACCAATTGAACATGTACTTCAGAAGATATGGCAAATTGAAGTTTGCACCTTTAATGTCATATCATGTGACACGTGATGACGTCACTTTGACGATCTTCGGAGAATCTGGCTGGTGGTTGACTAAATATGGACTTCATATGAAGTCATTCAGTTGGATAGCAGAGCTTAAGTTTGTGGTTCTAAAAATATGTAACCTATGAAGCAAAACTGCAACTTTTAGCTCATATCATGTGACCTCTGATGACATTATTATGAAGATTTTGTTCCAGGATCCTCTCTACCTAATGAACTAAGAGTGTGCACCAATAGGAAGTCATAGTCAGATTGATAACAGTGCTAAAGTCTCGCTGTTGAAAAAATGTACAAAATCTATGGGGAAAATTGAAATATTCTAAATTCAAAATAAATCATGTGATGATGTCATCATGACAAATTTCTGTCAGGACCATCCTTACACGAATGTCTGAAGATATGCCGAGTGTGAAGTCATTGAGATGTATTAAACTACCAGAGTCGACTACTGGAAGAAAAGCGTGCACAAACTCTGTGGGAAAGAGTCTGAAAAGGAAAAGAAAAGTTAAGAAGAAAAAGAAACTAGAGGTGTGTTTGTCCTCCAGACGAACACAGCTGTTTCCGACTGTATTCTCAGTTCATTTTCCCTCTAAGTAATGATGTTTTTATTATTGATATTTTGACTTTTGGGTAGATTTCAAATCGAAAACCAGAGCGTGAAACATATGATTTCTCTTTCGTTCTCGTATTAATCTTGAGCAAAAGTTGAGAACTACTCACTCATTAGTGTTCAGTAGAAAAACATGTACAAACCCTATTGCAAAGAATTAAATATTCAAAATTCAAAAATTAATAATGTGATGATGTCATCATGGCGAAGTTATTCTAGGACTATCCTTGCTTGATTGTCTGAAGGTCTGTGAAGTCTGAAGTCGATCAGATGTATGAAACTGTCAAAAACCTATGGGACAAGAAGATGTGTACAAACCCTATGGAGAAAGTCTGAAAAAGGAAATGAAAAGAAGAAAAAACCTTAAGGAAAATAATAGCTGTCCTGGCTACTCACTGAAACAGCTAAAAAAAATCTTAAGGTAAACTAAAGCTGTTTCAGCTAAAACACTGAAACAACTGAAAAGGCTAGTTGAATTGCACCCTTTCATTCCCACTTGTCGTACCCGCCATGGATCCACCTTTTATCTTCCTTTACATGTAAACTGATGTTTGTTTAATATTTCCGGTAGAATATTTAGAAAGTAAAAACTAAATTTTCAATGACTACAGAGGTTTTGCAATTCTAAGTGAAACTTGTCATTTTGCATCATTATTTCCCAAGCAGTGTTACACTCAGGGAATTCAAAATTTCCTGTATCTTTTTGGAAGGGAACTCCCTTTACAAATTTTGCTTCTGATGTTTCAAATAGGTTTGGTCAAAAAGTTTATTGAAATTAGAATTATCAGCTACCATCATTATCAATTTTATACTGTCAACATTTTTCTCCCTGTATTTGCAGTAAAAGGCCTTTTCTCTACATGTAATGCTACAGAGTGGTTTTGAGAATTTAGTTTTGGATAGTGTTTCTGCTTTGGGGCAGTTCTATACAAAAGTGGGAATTTGATCACGCTATTACCAACCCCATTATTTATCATAATTCACAAAATAAAAACAAGTTTACAGAAATGAATATGGAACTATATCCAGTTTCCACTGCCTTTGAAAATGTAAAATAAACCTCTTAAAGGATTACCTATGATGAGATCGGTAGTATCAAGACCAAATGTCCACCTTTCCATGGCATATTTGTATTGTACATGTATTGTAGATGTTCAGGGGTACATATTTAACGGTATGCACAACCAGACACCTTTTTAGTCAATCATAATCCAAGACATATGGGTCATTTCATGTCAGACCAACATACAGTGTTCCCGTGGCTTAGAAAAGTCATAAAAAGTCGTGAAAATCTGTTTTCATTTTCTAGACCCTGGAAAGGTCATGGAATTTTGTAAAAATGGCTAAAGTCATGGAAAAGTTGTGGAATTTTTCAAACTTTTTAGAAATACCTGCCAAAAATTGTGTGATTTTATTTACAACTTTTAAAGTCTGAATAGTCAAAAATTTGCATTATTGGGTCATGAATTCTTATAGTTTAGTCGTGGAAAAGTCATGGAATTTAATTGTCCTTTAGGTGCAGGAATCTTGAACATACCTTTTGACCTTAGGTCTTCAGAATTTGATAAAACATGGTTTTCCTGGCATTCTTGTATTGGTACAATTGTTGGCATCCAATAAAACAACATGGGACCCATCTCTGCTTGTCATTTGAGGAAGCAATGCGAACAGAATGTGGGACAAGCTCTGAGTCAATGGAGTCAACTCCAAACAACTCCAGTGCCTCCTTTGTAATGTACACCGCTAGTTGGAAGTTGACAAACTCTAGTATTGCATTAACATTAACAATAGTAGGCGCCCCTTTATTGGTCAAAACCTGGAGGTCAAAACTACAGTACATGTAGGTTGTTTGCTGAATTAGTCAGGAAATCTGCTCACATGTGATAGATGCTCGCTGCATACGAACACGCGTTTATCACAGACTAACGGAATGGCATGTATTTATAATTCATTGATGTTTACAAGCACAGCAATTTTCCTCAAAATCTGCACACCTAAGGTCAACAGGTGTGTTGGTGTGACATTGAATGACCCATATTACAGATGTTTGATGCTGTTTGGTGTGTAAGGTAAGTATGTCAATTTCTTGTAAACGACAAAGTGTCCTTATATTTTACACACAAATTCCTTGTTTGTAGTGGAGTTTGACCTACTCCGTGTAGGTTTTTACCCATGATCAGATGGTCGGGGGTTGAATCCAGCATTGGCCATATCCTGTGTCCTCAATGAAGCACTGTTGCATGCCTCTTTACTCAGATAAACAGTATGCACACTATATTTACTGGGAATAGCTGGCAATGTTGTAGTTCTGCTCTGGGTTGAATAGAATTGCATGAAAATGTATGCTATGGAAATCAAAAATGTAGAAGAGTGAAACCTCGATCATCAAGACATACATGAATGTAACCTGCTTTTCTCTATTGATTCTTACCAGGTAAATGATCAGTCAGTGAATGTACGATCAGAGGCTGTTGGTTTGCTTGGATCTCTTCATCTTGTCAGTCCAAAGTTCCTGCAACAAACCCTAGACAAGAAACTTATGTCAGGACTAAGGGTAAGTCAAGCCCATCATTGAGTTATGATCTCAGTTATTTCAGTTATTGTATGAAATGTTGGATGAAAGAGTGAATCACTTTCTGTTCACACACACATTTATTTCCTCCTGTGGCAGAAATAATAATAATAAGACAAGTCTAAAAGACATATATGCCAGAAGAGGTGGCAACACCTTAAAAGCAAAGCTTGTGGTAGGTATGCCCTTAAACAAAACATACATATAACATTAATATAAGAAACAACAAATAATTGTAGCTCTAAGCAATTATAGAGTAATTGTTGAAGATGGACTATGAAAAGAAAAGGTTAAGTTAATTTTCATGGCTACGAATATGATCAGAAGTAGTTATTGTGACAATGAAAATTATATTGCTTTACATGAGAAAGATCTTAAGTTGGCGCTTAAAGATGGTATACGATCTTGAAAATCTTTGTCAGGATGGTAAAGTATTCCAAAGTTTGGGACCAGAGTATTTAATGTTAAAGTGATAGGCAGAAGTTCTGTGTTGCAGCATCTGAAAATGAAGGTTGGTTGACGAACGAGTGTTGTATTTATGCAGCCACAGTTAAATACAAACATGTTTTCTGCCAATTTCAATGGAGATGTCTGCTCAGTTTCTGAAAAAAAAAGGGGGGGGATTAGTTTCCTGAAACATGAATGTGCACTAAACATTTCCTCAGTTTACCAAGCCACAAAACCATGGAATCAAACCAGGACAATGAAATCTAACTAGGATTCGATTCCTGTAGGCAGGTGGAAGTTGCATCACTGGACATACATGTGGGATAGCCTTCTGGCAGCTCCTGCAGCTGACCTGGTACCAGATGTATGGTACTTTCCTCTGGACCACACCAGTAAAGCTGAGAGGGAGATCTTTAGGACCTAGGATTCTCACAAAACCCATCATGGCTTGTACCATCATGGAGAGGACACTCTATCTTTGCTTGTTAGAGTGACCACTCATTATGGAAGACAAGAGTCTATAAGTCATAAGCCAGTCTCAGTTGGTGTTGACTCTGATGAATGGAGAGACTTTTAAAGGCAGCTGTCTCCTGCCCAATCTGGACACCCTCCACCTAATATGGTGCTGACCCGTCACAGCTTGCCTATTCCAAAGGGAGGAGTCTGGTTTTTACTCTAATGTGACAGACAACATCTATTGACACTGGAGTATTTCAGTCAGGCCGGCCGCCTTGTAAAACAGCCCAGATTTTGCGGTGTTATATAATTGTTTTTTGTTCTCGAAACTGACTTAGTGCGCTGTTGACCTCTTTTCAAGAGGGGCCAGATTGGCGTGCAGCAGTACTGTGTGGCTCATCACTACGGTGGTGGAATGCTTTTGTCCCAGGTGGTAATCCGCTTGCGCTGAAGCGCCAAACCGTGGTATACTGTTTCAAAACAAGGCTGGATTATCTCCACTATTGAGAGTGAAAAATGTTGGTAATTCCCAGCAGCCTGGTCTTTTGTTACAAGTATGGTCTTTTGTTACAAGGCCCAGTTCCCTTTGTCCAATTTTGGAGACCCGGGCCACGCGTATAAAGAATATGCGTCCGAAACTGGAATCCCCAGTGGCAAGTGCTTAATAGATGTACATGTATGGTGCCCCCAAGACAGCCATAATAGATTCTGAAATCCACTGGCTAAACATTGGCATTGCTGCCTTACAACAGACAAGAGTAGCAGAGAACAGTTCTTTTAAAGGATCCATGAAATAAATTTTAATAATCTTTGTACCCTTCTTCAATGTATGAAGACTGTTTGACATCTTTTTCCATTACTTGAACTGAAAAGTGCACTCTCAAAACATTCAACATTGACCAAGCATTTTTGGACAAGTGAGAGCGCTTTTTACTTTGATTGAAATCCATTAAGACATGGTTCAGTTGCATGTTTTATGTTGTAATGGTGAGCTCCATACTTGCTATCTGAAAACATTAATGTGGAAAGGTTGCTTGCTGGCTCATTGCCATACATTATGTCCACAATAAATTGCCAAAGGAAATGAAATCTACGATAGCATTGTTTTAAAAAATTTAGTTATTTTCTGTGCACAAATCGGTGCAACATTGAGATTCAGTGCCTTGGACGACGTCATAGTTTTGTTTATGAATATGCAAATGCACATTAGCATAAACCCCCAAAAGTTCCAAAATATGCAAAACAAGCATTTCAAATAAGTTAAACTTAAACCCAAAGGTACAATTTCAAGGGTTTAAAAAAAAATATTTGTTTCATGGTTCACTTAAAAAAAGAAGCATACTCAAAAAAAAGAAGCACTGCTCACCTTTGGGCAAGGGACGAAAAGGGAAGAAAAATTAAACACAGGGAGCCTCCAACAAATAGCTCTGAGAGAATCTTCCCTCAACCTAATTTTATCCAGTGCAGAATGGTCAACATCATTTCTGTTTATGCCAGAGTTCCCTGTTATCTCCGGAGTGCAAAATCCAGTTTTATAGTGACCTTCACAGGGGTGAGATTTGTCTGGATTTCCAGATATTTGGAAAATTGTAATCTAGATATATGGGTTTTCTATTCCACATGGCTTTGCCCAGACTGGAAGTATTACTTTGTACTTTTTCTCAGATTTAATCCAGGACTTGTGCAAGGTGAGGTTTGGATAGAGTGTGCCCGCCTTTGTCGTTACTGTTGTAGTGTAATGGAATATTGCTGAACGATGTGGGTATATAGTATTAAACCATAGGGATTCGTCACAAGTTCTAGCTATGTACATGTGCCATGCATTACTGTCCACATTTACAGACTTCTCAGGTGTCATTTAGTTTTGCCGCATGGTTTTCATCAACTTTCACTATGATTGATCAACAGGCTCTCAAAGTCATCAATTGCAGTGGAGATTTTCCTCTTGAGAAAAGCTTGAAAAATGCATGGAATATTTCGTATCGTGAAAGTCTGGTGGAAAAAGGAGTGGCAAAAGGGAAGATGAATGTGATTGGAATTTAATCGAAAAATCAAGAAGCACAGATACTGCAGGTGCACGTAGAGCATAGTATGAAAGGAGGCATTTTTTAATGGATTTTTTAGTTTCTTCAAATCTCATCCCTGCCTTCACTGATCCATCAACAAGATCCGCCAGGCAACTTAAAGACCAAAATATGAGAAGATTAGCCACCAGAGAACTGGAACCATCAACTGATGGAAGCCACTAGAGCTCTGTTGCAGCCACAGTCTTTTCACAGCCAATTTGTACTTTGCCTCCAGAGCTCAGCATTTGGTCTTATGGATGCAATTTGGGGCCACTAGTACACTGGCACCAGCTGAATCTCATCATCACCATATACGAATATAAGTGGAAGAGTAAAATACCTGTGTTGTAAATTAATATATAAAGGTCCTTAGGTAACATACGATCTACTTGTTGTTAATGTTAATGCAGTACTGACTGGCTGGTCCTCAACAAGACCATTGTAAAACAAGGAGGTTGCATGTGGGACAAAACCTCTCAGCTATTTGAAATGTCGGCCCATCATGGAGGAGCTTGATGAGGCACCCCAACTGCAGCAGAGCTTGAGAATGCAATCAATGCACCTACAAGTGGCAAAGCAGCAGAAAATGATGCCATTCCAGCTGAGGTCATCAAGGCTGTATAGCCAGCTCTGCTGCCCCACTTGTGCAATCTTCTCTGTCTCTGCACGAGAGAGCTTTCCCTCACAAGCTAAGAGATGCCGAGATCGTCACCCTGTACAAGCAAAAGGGATACTGCAGTTTTTGCAGCAGCCAACAAGGTATCTCTTCATAACCATTGGGGTCAAGACATTTGCTCATGTCATCTTCTCCATAGTGTATATTCCAACAAAAATATCTACCCAGAATCCCGATGAGGCTTCAGGCCAGCAAGATCCCCACTTCATAGATGTACATGATATCCATTGGACAACTCCAGCAGTGCCTTGAACAGAGAAGACTCCTGTATCTTTGTGTTTGTCAACCTACCTAAAGTCTTGGACCCCATGAGTGAAAGTGGACTGTTTAGGGTCCTCAAGAAAATCAGTCCCCCCTCTCCCTGCAACTCCTGAGCCTGATCACCTTCTTCTACAAAGTGTCTGGCACAGTTAGCCTTGATGGGGGACATCCAGTGCCTTCAGCATCACCTGTTGAGTTAAGCAGGACTGCATCTTAGCTCCAGTCTCATTAGAACGCCTTTACTGCACCTACCCTATACCTTCAGTTCATCCAAAAAGAGAGCTACCTGCACACAAGATCGGTTGGCAAGCTCTTCACACTGTCTTGTCTTTGGTTCATGCAAAAACCAAACATGCAAAAAGGCCCTCATCAGTGAGAGGCCCTTACCCGAAGACATTGAGCTTCCCACCCACGTCTGGAAAGACCTCCAGCAACTGATGGACAGGCTTTTCAAGGCCTACTCTGAATTTTTATTTTTAATGTTATTTTATTATTAGCCACATCCAACAGCAGAAATGCCGCCAATTACAGGAATGGAAATAAATAACCCCCCAAAAACCATTGTAATTTAAATTGTAACATATATAATTTCTAAACAAACATACTAGACAAAAAATAACCAGCTGGGGCCGCCAGCTAGCTCCATGCAGTTCCGAGCTGGTGCCCCCACCGGCCGAACCCGCTGACGCTACAATTTAAACAAACATCAAATACAACACAAAATAAACAGACACCTGCACATCCGGGTAAACAAACATGTACATGTTGTTGGTGGACTGAGGACACAGAAACAAGAAACAAACAATAAGAACATTCAAATCATGGTAATATTAACTTAAACAACTTACAAACTAAACCGGTAAATTAAGAACTGATTTGTGTCACAGCATAAGACACCTACCTACGAAAAGATTTGACGGTGCACCAAACACAGCTCATTTCCAATGGAGCCCATAATAGGTGGTAGAGACGAATCCATGCTTAGTTACCTCAATGCGACTCCATGGGACATGGAAGATGTGTTTAGGTGCATGCCTAGTCTGACATGCTGGAGCGTACAAGCTGTATGGGTTGGCATCAGTCAAATTATAACAATTATTAAAATGCTTATACAAAATTAAACAGTCATTGATGTTTCTTTTGTGCTTCAGACTTGGGAGTCTATAATGGTCACGTAATTCAAGATAATCCAAATCAATAACATTACAATTTGTGAGAAGGAAGCATTGTTGAACCTTTTCAATCCTTTGCACCTGGTAAGCTGAAATAGAATTGAATACAACTGTACAATACTCCAGATTGGGCCTGATAAGTGAACAGTACATGGTAAGCAGAACACGTTCATCCTTAAGGGAGCGGAAATTGCACCATACTAAGCCACACGGTCGATTAGCCTTTATAATTACAGAGTCAATATGGGGAACAAAGGTCAGCCTACTATCAATGAAAATTCCAAGATCCTTCTGGACAGTGACTCTCTTAAGTACATGTATATCATTTCCTTGAGTATAACTAACACTATTAAGTTTCTTCTTAAGTGTTAAAGAGAGGACACTACATTTATTGATATTAAGAAATAACTTCTAAGTTAATGACCAGGACATGATTTTGTCCAAGTCCTCCTGTAATGAGGATGTATCAATCAGGCAACCAATTCTTCTGAAAACTTTCAAGTCATCAGCAAATAGTAAGCAATTATTATTTAATAACCGAGGAATGCCATTTACAAATAATGAGAAGAGAGCAGGCCCCAAGATTGAGCCTTGGGGAACACCAGAAGACACCGTATTCCAGTTAGAACAGTGACCGTCTACAATCACTCGATGTTTCCTATCAGAGAGATAACTACGCAGTAGACAAAGAATACGGGGATGAATATTGTATGATGAGAGTTTATACAACAGAAAATCATGATTGACACGGTCGAAAGCCTTGGAGAAATAAGCCTAAATAAAATCCAACTGCTCTCTCTGTTCAACAGCATGGTAAGCCTCCTGCAACAAAGATGTGAAGTTAGTGGGGCAATCCCTACCAGAGATGAAACCTGCTGCTGCTCAGAGATGGCTGGTTGGACATGATACATGATTTGCTCACAGATGATCTTTGCAAAAACCTTGGAGACCTGAGGGAGCAATGAAATAGGTCTGTAGTTAGTGACACTTTGTTTATTATCCGACTTATGGATGGCAACGATATAAGCAGCTTTCCATTGTGAGGGAAAGTGACCCTCCAAACTGGCCCTATTGAATAAATATGCTAAAGAAACCACAAAGAGCATTACCACAGAATTTAAGTACGAAGCCAGACAGATTATCCGGTCCAGTGGCTTTAGAAACATCAATGTCATTGAGCTTGCTGGGGACATCAGATTTGGTGATGCTAATAGCAGGCATAGTATACAAGTTTGCATGATTGAGAGCAAGCATGGAGGCATCAGCTTCATCAGAAGAGTCTGGCAGGTAAACCGACTGGAAACAATCCATCAGCAGAGCTGCCTTACCCGCTGGATCTACTGCTTCCACACCAGAGTTTTCATTTCGAAGTACAGAAGGCAAGGAGTGTTGACGAGAGTTCGCTCGAGACTTAATGAAACTCCAAAAGCATTTGGGATTTTTACCAATGTCTCCAGCTACAGAATATAGATAGTTGGCGTATTTGGCCCTGACAATTTGCTTGAATTGAGATCGAGCCTCTTTGAAAAGTTGAATGTTAGCAGGAATTGGGCTCCTTTTCTTCATGTTGAATGCTTGCTCCTTGGCTCTCAGGGCATGACAAACTTCTCCATCGAACCACGGAGGAGATGGATGGCGTGGACAGACTACAGGAACAATATCAGCCACAGCAGCTTCAACGAAGTCATAGAAGAGTGCGGTGGCTTCATCACAGTCACCTGTTGCTTCCAACAGACGCCATGGAATGCATTCCATTGTTCTCTGCATGTCATTTAGGTCAGCTTTGTGAAAATTGAAGACGGGACGATTAACGTAGGATGGCCTAGCTTTAGCAGCTGTGTGAAAGTTAATTCTCGAAGAATTATGGTCAGAAGCAAAGATGTTGTCACCAGTTTCACAGAAGATTTGGTGCTGTCCGGAGCAGAGGATAAGGTCAAGGATATTGTCCCCTCTCGTTGGAGAAAAGTTCACATGCTGCAGGTTATTAACGGTCATGATGACATCAACAAACCGTTATTGATGATGGAGCCACTTGAGACTGGAAGTCCGGTGGTTGATTGCCACTGCAGAGAGGGTAAGTTGAAATCGCCAACTATACAGATGGAGTTGTTGTGCCATGAAGCATTAGTTAGCATGTCAGCAAGAGCCTCCAGAGGTTGAACACCACTGTTTGGCGGTCTGTAAAAAACTCCAAGAAGCAACTTGTTGCGACTAGAAAGCCGAACCTCCACCCATAGCATTTCAACATTATTTTGCTCAAGATCCGACCTTCTACGGCATTCAAAGTCATTGTGGCAACCTATTAGCACCCCACCACATGCACCATGACCAGTTCAAATCCTGTTCTCATGCCATCCTGACTGCTACATATACAGCAGACCCATTCATGGACAGCTGTTGACTATTTCCGATAACCATGTGACTACAGAAAGTGATGTCATCAGAAAACACAAGTGAAAACAAACCCGACATGTTACGCCGAACACTGAAGTAAGGTTGTAGGCTTATGGGTATTGCACAACACATATCTGCATTACACCAAGTCTATGAAGAGTATTTGGGCTTATGCACAGCCGGCCGAGTGCGTGTCTGCACTTTGTGTGATTTCTTGTATACATGGTGTCCCAGAGGATGGCCAATCGCTGCAGCCTTGTGATGCGGTTTTGTAGATTTTCAGAGAATGTGACTTTCCAAGGGAAAGGAGCACTGTAACCGGAATCATTTCACATGCATAATTTGTTTCCGGGGCCTAAAATAGTGAGCGTTATGTCCTGAAAAGTATTCTAACATTGATTTTAAATCAATGTTAAAAACATATCTTTTTAAGAAAGCATATTATTAATTTCCAGGCTCTGGGTGGTTGTTAATTTTGATTGTAGTTCTGTCGTCTTTAATTTCGTTGGACCTGTCTGGGAGAATCTGGGTGTTCTCTTGGAGAGTGCTTCCAGTTTTCAGGCACAAGGATGAGTCTTGTGCGCACGATGGGTCATTGGAGGGAGAGTTGCTGCTGGCCGCGTGTGGAAGTCCCACCATGTTTGGTTTAAACTTTTAAATCAATGTTAAATTGTGTTTATTTTAATTGTTTTGGGTCTTTGGAAATAGTTGTTCTAATAGGTATTTTTTTTAATATTGTTAAGCACACCTGAACATTTTTTTATGAAATGAGCCCTATATAAATTGAATTTAATAATAATAATAATAATAAATGGGAGTGCTATAACCACAGAAATATGTACACGGTGAATGAGTGCAATTGGGGAAATGAAAATATAGCTATGTATCAGCAAGAGCGTTATATCAGGGAATGCTATTATGGGAATCTACTTTAAACGTTTTGGCAAAAACCCTTGTTGGATTTTAGTATCGATCATTCAGTCTATAAAATGAAATACTGAACAGTTACATTTGCAAGTTAAAGCATTATTGCTTATTGTTTATTTCAGAGGAAGCGAACTTCTCATGAGCGACAAAAAGAGAGTTATGCATCTGGTGATTGGTCTACTGGTCAGAAGTGGAATGATGATGCCCCCAAAGAACTGATTGATCCCTGCAATGTCAGTCTCATCAACAGCGGTTCTTGTGGTGCATTTGTACATGGCTTAGAAGATGAATTCTTAGGTAAATTTAGACTACTCATTGAACTTTTATTAATTTTTGTCTGTGTGTCTGTAAATTCTGTATGTGATTTTACATGACCCATAATGTTTTGTCAAGTTCAAGCAGATGTTCTCAAAAAACCTTTCGAATGGGTGACACATGGCTGTGAACCGTGTCAGCATGTTTCATGTACACTTCCTTTTGATATAAGTGGAAAATTCCAGTTCTGCCAATACTTGTGTCAAATTATATGTATATAAGTTGGCCACTCATGCTTGTTTGCCCAATATTCGCATGTACAATTCCTACCAGAGCTCTAACTTGCTTGGTACATTCAGCATTTGGCTACAGATAATTTTGCTGGTGCTGTTTCATGAGTCATGCTGAAGATAAAACATATTGTGTGTTTTTTTGCACAACACATGTAGCATACATTACTTTGAATTTGTTCCATCTTGTTATGTTCTATAAACATGAGCATGAATTCAAAATTTCTACGCCCATGAGTTCTGAAAACTTCTGTGCATGGGGAATGACAAGTTATCACTCTAGTGATTTAATATATCTCTTCGAATGACCTACATTCCATTTCCCTTTCATAGGATTGCATTTGAAGGTTGGAAAATATCATAGTTTCCTACTTTCTTCAGCATTTTTCATACCTTTCACTTTTCTGGCTTTCCCTGTGTAGTTTGAGAAAGTCCTTTGTTACGGTATTCATTCACATGTACATGTTTATTGCATATTGCCTTTTAACCCTTTAAACTCTGCCCTATATTGAAGAGTTTTTGGTAAATTAACTTTTTGCATGAACGCAATCGTAAAAATAATCTTATGAGGTGAAAGACGAATGTTTCAGTTCATAAACTTTGAACCTCATGAACTTGGAACATTTGTCTGCACTGAATAAAATTATTCTTACCATGGCATGTACCGTATGTGAAACATTCATACAATACCTACATAAATCCTCACCATCATTTCCTCTACTGTTAGGAGAACAAAGGGTCCTTGGATATTAACGTCTGCCATTTTTGCAAAACACATTCGTGTCTGAAGTGTGACCACCACACTTACTGTGCAATGTTAGACCAGTTGCCTCCCCATATTATTTGTTCCTTTCTTAATAATAGGAATGAAATGTGGGTGGGAACCAGTCAAGTGGAATGAGGTTCTATTCAATGGCTGCAGTTGAATAGAATAAATAAGTCTACAGGTATGAAGTGCCCACAGACCCACCAATCAGATGACAAAGATTTATGCTAGTATTGTGCACTGTTCGTTATCATCCCTGGATAACTTGCATACCATCTGAGAGCTTGTGAGCTCGGCGATAAAATATTTGTAACAAAGAAAAAAAGAAGAAATACAAGTCCACTACATCCAAGCTATATAAACAGTCAATACGTATGCATATTTCCCATAAACCTATTGTTCTTTGCTGAAAAGACTTGATCATCCATGGTGCAGCCTGACCTCCCACAATGCATTGCGGTCACGCCGCCATGTTCGTGCTTCTTTTCTAAGCACTGTAACATAACGGCTTTGTCTTTTTAGGCATCTTTGATTTATCAAGTTTTCCCTTCTCGCTACACAGTTCTGTGTTGACTTAATCCTCAGTTCCTTCTTCTGAATAAAGCGTTGCCTTGATTTTTACTTATTAGGCGGTAAAAGTGTTGTTTTCGTGTATTTTTGTGTCCTTTTTTTTTCTTTGGTTTTCTATCTGTGCACCTGGCAGGCATTTACTGACGGTAATATGAGCTTGTTCTAGCTGTGCTTGTGACTGCCGTACTACATTACTAACAGTCTGTAGCCAGCTGATCCAGGGGACACCCGCTAGGATCTGGCCAGGCCCCCTGTTTCTGCTGGCAACCCAGACGAGGATAAAGGCCTAGTTGTTCAAACAAGGGCACCCACTAGGATCTGGCTAGGCCGTCTGTCTTGTTTGACTCTACACAGAGCTGATGTGGAAGCTCTGAGGATAATTGCGTATGACCTCTTGAGCCTGAGCACCTGCTATTATCTGAATAGGACCCCTGTCTCCCTGGCAGACCTCCCAACTTTCCGATTTGGGCGGAAAATTCCTGCTTTTCTTGTCATTTTCAACTTTCATGTATATATTTTCTGAAAAAGAAAATCCCGCCGGTGGTCAGCATTCCCCCCCCCAAAGCGATCAGTGAAGTATAACGGTGGCCTGGCATTTATTGCAATATGCATGTGCAGGTCAATTGGTAAGCGGCACACTAATTCACTGGGCAAAGTTTTCGAAAAGGGGCAAATTACCATTTTTTTTTCATAATTCTAATTAAATCTAATTAAGAACTCGCCCAAGTTTAAAATTTGCCAGCCCAAATCAGCAATTTGAGCAAAATCTTTGCCCTTCAACACTAGTCACACATGCACGCAGTACTGTGCCAGAATGGTCACTTCAACTTGCTTCAATGTGTTGCACGCAGTAGTGTGCACATTTTTTTCTATTTTGTTTAATATATTATTACAAACAATTCAAGCATGCTTTTGTCACTTTTAGGGTCAGTTTTAATAGTGTTCTATTTTTACTGACTACAAATTTGTAGTTGATTACTCCATTTAAAACAGCGCAAAAATGGCAAAATATTTTGAGGACTTGTAAAAGTTTATTTTTATACTATCACTGGTTCTCGCACTGCTTACGCTTCAGATAATTGCATGTGTAGTGGAACCATTTATGTACTTGCAAAGCCAACTTTTGTGGCATCAGTTTTAACAACGGTGCATAATACAATAATACAAAATGCCAAAGCAATGGAAAAGAAACAGTACCAACAACAGTGGTATATATACCAAGATACCAGGAGGAATGGCTGTGTATTTGACACTATCGCGATCAGGGGAGAGCTACGCTCATGGCAGCATTTGTTCTGTGGACTTTATGATTAGCCACTGTAGACGCGGGGACTATGCAAAATATGTTAGCTCACAGAAACATAATTGTGCCGAGTCTGTGCATGATGTGCCCAAATTCAGCAAATTTTTGCAGAAATTAGTTGTGATAAATGCTGAGATGTATGCAACAGAAATCTTAGTGGAATATAATCTATCAAAACGACAGACACAGGACTGATAAGGAATTTTGGAATTCAAATATTGGGAGGTCTGCCCTGGTCTATTGCCAGTTGCCAGCTGGGACTCCCGAGAGCATGCTTCACCTGATATCTCACATGCTTGTCGTACCATCACTGGGAAGTACACCTTACCTATCGACCACCATGACCCAGAAGAACTCACAGGGCGAAGGTGTTAGTATTCCCCTGGCAACTCCAGCGGGCATTGGCAGTCTTTCTGCAATGGTAAGAGAAATCGCTTCACCGGCAAGATCAACTGAGTGTACTTCCACTTGTCCCGACACTGGAGACACCAGGGTGGGCTCCCCACACTCTGCCAGGTCTGTCCCACCTGGTACACCATCAGGCCATGGCACTGTGACATCTTAGAATATTTCAGTGGTTGCCTCAGAGCCCACCGGGCTTCTATGCCACCGAGGGTTTAGACTACCACAGCCAATTCGCAATTCTGGATTTCAATTTGGTATCTCCAGGACATCCAACCATGCCTCAACCGGTCCTTCAACCTAAAATGATTCAGCTCACACCGGCCAAGACCAGAAACACTCCTCTGCAGGCAACACAAACCTGGCTTCAGCATGAGACAAAATGTGATATGCAACAAGTGGTTGTTTCTTGGTCAGGGAGCACAGGTTAGCTCCCATTGCATCCTGTGACTATTATGCTTACCGAGATTGGGGTAAGAGAGGAAAAGTAAAATATACCCCCAGGGGCCTTTTCCTAGTTTCGGAGTACCATATTGGAGCAAGTGTGAAAGGGCTTAACCTTCAGGTGACTTGCCCTGCTTTTTTCAGGCACCAGTTTACCCCATTTGTGAGTGTGCCCAAGGCCTTTTAACTGTAACCGTTACCAGAGCTGCCAACTAGTACACCTTTTTGGAAATCGGACAAGAGTACTGAAGTACGGATTTGCTTTCCAAAATACAGATTTTTGAAAAATCTGGTCATTACACCTTATTACACAAAATATTGATAGACATGTTATGGTGTGTTGGCCAATGGGCATTATGGAATTTGATCCTGACCAAAACCAATCGCATGTGCAGTGAACACAAGGGGTAAAGATTTTACGGGGTCAAATTTTCATGAGGCACCTGTCACGGAGCTGAGGATCATCTGATTCCCTGACGTCTACAGTTATCTGGCAATGTACTGTGCACTACAGCCCAGTCTAATGTGTACAAGGTGAGCATGGCAATTCAATTCAATTCATGGCGCTGTGTGGTGTGTATCAGTGTGGCATGCGCGAGCACCTTGATAGTAGCTTCTGGAATTTAGTGTAGCACAGGTGATCATAAAAGTGGCTTCAACGTTGTCATCTTCGAAAAGTTCCAGAAAGCAACCTTTCAAAAAGGTACATGTAAACACACAGAGAGTGACATTTATTTTACACTTTGTTTGTCCGTGAGCAAGTAATATTTACTCAGTGGTGCCCTGGGTCTACTCCTCTGACCACATCTAAAATGAGGAGAGGAACACGGTCTAGCCCGCATGATCCTCTTTTGTCTTAAGGGACAAATTTTCTGCATCATAGCGGTTTCTGCCTGCTGAGGTTTTCCCTGAGCAGGAAATGGCAGACAGACAATGGAATGAGTTTCCAATCTACAGAAGTGCCTGTCTCACTTCCAGTCCTTTCAGGCTCCCCCAGCTCTCGCCTGGCTCTGTCTTCTCGGACTGATGGCTAGCATGAAACCTTGATGCTGGCTTCATATTAGACCACTGCAACTCCAACTACGTTCTCAATACCATCCCCACGGTCCACGTATCAAAGAACATTTACCAACATCTGCCGTAGAGTTGAGAGTATAACGGAAGCAATGAAATGAAATTTCATTGACAAATTTGCCCCTGTCCGCTTTAATACATAATTTCAAATTCATGATTGAACACATAGAACTATACCTTACCAGAGAGAGGCTTGGAACAGACAGAAGTATAAAACAGTCTGGTGCCATCCTGATCGACAGGTTGTAATATAGAAAACAGATTTGGGGAATAAATCAAAAATGGCCTCCACGTAAATAGGGTCTATTTTTAGATCACCTAATTGCTGGACTCCCATTCTCATATGCGACACCTGAGATAGTGACAAAGACAGCGTCATCACTCAGATTGGGGGCCTCCCTTCCTCACATATGGTTTCAGGGAACTGGGATGCCCACTCTCAGGAAAAGCACTTCAATGTTGTGGAACTTGAAGTGATTTTCAAAGCCTTGCGTAATTTCCTCAAAAGCATTGAAGGGGCTATCCTGCTGTCAGCAGCGTAGAGGTCAGGGGACCTCGTACAGACCAGGCAGATGGCAAGTCATCCTGATGACCAAATTATGATGGATAAGACTTGAAGCTATGCATGGTGGAAGTACTAAGTTAGGTAGGCTTGCGGTTGCACCATGTACTAGAAAATCTCTTTAATGAGTGCGTGCTTCTGAGAAGAAATGCTGGTGGATACTTGACGTTCCAAACAATACGCTCTGTTTGTCTTCAGGAGGGTGACTGGTTGCCTGGCTCTAATGTTGCTGCTTTTTAAGCACTGGAGAGGATGATAAGGGTGCACTGGAGTAGAACGGCTTGCTTGATGGTGGATCCACTGGACTGAAAGACTACTGAGAGTTCTCAGTGATGCGTGCAGTGGGGCATTGGGTGTAGTGGGAGGAGGAACTAGGGACCATGGGTATAGATGACTCATTGGTCCGGGAGGGTAATATGGAGTGCCAGATGCTGCTGATGTGAAACCCAACGTCTTTAGGGACTGTGTCGTGCTTGTAGATCTTGATAGCTTCCCTGATGCGTCTTAGGTACCATCTGTCACACGAGAGCGATGAGTTGAGTTGCTTGCCAGTTGATGACGTGATCCCTGATGTGTGAATGTTTGACAATCGCTGATTTATCATAGTCACCTCTGTGTCCATGGGCGATGTGTTCTGTGAGTCTGGTGGGCAAGTCCCAACCAGTCTCACCGATATACACCTTCCCACATTCGAGGGGATCCTGTAGACATCAGCTTTCGTCTGATGGCCTTGCTTGTCCTTGTGGGTTTGTAGGGTGGCTTGAAGTTTCTTGGCTGCAGTGTGGAATACTCCTCTGTTGGCTTGGTGAAGGAGGTGTTGGATCTTGTGGAATGCATTTCCTATGAATGGTAGGGTCACTGTTGCCTTGTAAGATAATGGTTGACTTTGGGTATAGCATTGGGACCCGACAGTCGGTAGACTTGGGTTCTTGATCTTGGCTGTAACTGTTGCACTTGAGAGCTATTGAGATGTACTTGAGTTCTTCTTGGTCACAGATCTTGTAGGCTCGCTGCACCAGGGCACAGTTGACTGCTGACTTGATGCTGGGATGATGGAATGACGCGTTGTGCAGGGACTGGTCTGTGTGGGTTGGCTTGCAGTAGACGGCATGCCCCAGGGATCCATCTGGGTGGCGGGAGACCTTGACATCCAGGAAAGGAATAGAATTCCTCTCTTCTTGCTTAATGGTGAACTTGATGTTGGGATGCAGGTTGCTGAGGTGATCCAGGAATGCTTGCAGGTGCTGGGGTCCATGTGACCAAATGACGACAGTGTCGTCCACATAGCATAGCCAGGTGCTTGGGCAGTGATCTGCTGTGTCAAGCGCTGTGTTCTCGAAGACTTCATGAACTTGTCAGCCAGGATCAGGGATAGAGGAGATCCCATGGAGGTCCCAGGTGACTGTTGAAAGAACTGTCCCTCCATCTGGAGCTGGATGTCGAGATGCAGGTTAGCAACAGAAAATTTGGTCCAGAGATAGGGTTGTGCGCTCACAGAGAGTGGGGTCTTGCTCTAGACGTTCTTTGGCAATGAGGCAGGTCTCGCTTGTGGGGACGTAAGTGAAGAGGCAAACATCATCAAAACTAACCATGATGTCAGAGTTGAGGGAAATTGCTTGATCATTTGAACAAACTGATCAGATCAGAGTTATACACATGATGCAGGGATTTATCCACCAAGGATTGGAGAATTGTGGTAAGGTGCTTGGCGGTGTTGTAGGTTAATTATGATGACCTGCTTTGACCTGCTTTGGTATATATGTTTATCATCATTTACAATTCATTAATTTGTGTTCATCATTTTGCAACATGTGTTGTAGCCAACCCACCACTAAGACCAGTGCCATTTTTGCATTTTGACAGGTCAGGGTGTACTGTGGATGACTAAGTCTTTTCAATGAATAATAATGGGTGCATAGGAAATTTGCATATTGCACTGACTTTGGGTGAGTGTTCTTTAGCAGACTTGTCCCACATGTATATGGAGAGGATAACCCTTCCTTCTTAATGGTAACTACTTGGAAAAAATCAAAGTGTTCGGTTTTTATGGTTTTTTGGCAAAAAGGTTTTGAGAACAACTTGCTGGGAGACTTTTGAATGCATTAATGACAAAATGCAATTCTCATTTCATGAGAAAACACCTCAAGAAGCAATTGTATTTGTTATACCACGGTCATAGATTGTAAATTTGCATTGGTTGTGAATTGATCACGTGATATGCCACAAGCATGCATGTATCATTTATAATCGAGTGCATTGGCAACCTTGTCTTCATGGGTACAGTCTTGCCGCACCATCTTGGTTCCCATCACACCTTGCCTGATCTTAACTCCTGATTTAGGGGGGGGGGTTACCAGGAATTGGGGGCGCACATGCGAAACAGGCTGGTGTAGTTGTGGCAGGGCTGCATTGTTTGGAATAAGTAGGGCCCTTTACATAATTACAGAGAGATTGAACCACTGATATAAAAATATTGTGTAAGACGGCAGAGGCCATTAACATAGTAAAAGTTGGAAACAATGGCATAATATGAGGGATGGTGAGATTTCATACAGTTAGAGGTTCAGGTTTGTTATTCAACTGTAACGTACATATGCATTGGTAAGAAGCAGATGACCAGTGATTGAACTTCAGTGTTCAGGTAAACTTTATTATTAGGACTGTGCCGAATATTCAATCAATTATTGAATACATGTATTTGAATAGTATTTTCCCAATTGGAATATTTGAATGCAAAATTTCTGAAAAGGAAGGAAGAATTTCCTTTGTTTTAAATGAGAAAAATTGCACTATGAATGCATGTTTTAAACAGATTCCTGAATTATACAGTGTAAATATTGTGGACTTAAACTGATTTTCAAAGGAATGTGATTATTGCCATACACTCCTGGTAAGCTAGTGGTGACTAAATCCATCTTATGTACTGTTCAAACCCTTTAAAATTGCACTTACAAGTTGTTGACTAAAGATGTTATGCAATATATAAAGAAACAGATTGATCGTATTCATGATTTGTTGAAGCAATTTTGATTGCATAGTTGTGTAGTTGAATTGTTTGCATGATGTTCTTTTATTGTACAGAGGTACGTTCAGCAGCCTTGGATTCCCTGTGTGAACTAGCAACACATTCTCCTTCATTTGCTCGCCTGTCTCTTGATTTCCTGGTTGACATGTTCAATGATGAGATAGAAAGTGTGCGACTTAATGCAATATGCAGCATGAGAAAAATTACTAAACACATTGTGCTGCGTCAAGATCAGCTGGAGATTATCCTCAATGTATTGGATGTAAGTGATGGTTATACAGATTTTGTATTTTCCTTATTGCTTTTTTGCCACTGTGACTGAGATAGTTTTGTCAAGGCCAAATTTAAAACAGCAGACATACTTTATGAAGGAATGTTGTATCCTCACTGGTAGATTAACAAGATTAATTGCACTCACTGTGTCAGTCAGGAGTTATGATTACATTTAATTTAATTGTTTCAGTTGTCATTTCTTTGAATTTTGGGTTGATTTTTTGGCAGGACTTTTCAAGAGAAATTAGGGAAGCGCTACATGAACTACTCTGCACTGTTGTCTTGGCAACAAAATCATGTTTGAGTAGGTCACTCCACTTTTTGATGAGAAATCTGAACAAGTATCCCCAGGATAAGTCCTCCATCTGGAAGTAAGTTTACATATGTTGAAGACCAGTTCAACAGCCTACATGCATGCACAAGCACACATGTACATGTCAATTGTTTATGTGGCAGCAATATTCAACACTAAAACTTTTGTACAGTGTACTATCAGGTAGGCTTGCATTGCCTCAAGTTATTGGCTTTGCTGCAAGCTGCAGGAAAGCCATAGTTTTGTGAAGAAATTTTTTTTCTCCCTTATTTTTCTATCCCAAATTCCATAGACTTTGTACAGGTTTTATTTTTGGCGGCACTTCAGTCAGTTGTAAATCTTCAACCAAGTTAACATTTGCACCTCAGGCTGAAGATGTGTACTTACATTGACATCATAATGATGTCATCATAAGTCACCTCACAGGGTGTTATTGATCACTTCCTTGGCTGCCAGTTTCTATGAAATTGCAAGTTTGAGTAAAGGGAGGTTTACACCATTGGTTTTTGCTGTGAGTTTGCAAGATTGGCTGATTTAGGGGTATAACATTTTCCAGTTTCCATTCTACTGACTAATATCATGTTTGAATTAACTGCGTTGAAAAAAGTCGAGGAAAGCTAGAGTTTTTGCTGTTGTACCAGTCAAATTGAAGATCTTTTAATTTTATTGTGCAAAATCCATGAAGCACAGGGCATTCTCAGTGCGCAAACAATGAACTTACAGGGTCCATCTGCATATGATCAGGGGATGATGACAGGTGACTTCATCGAGCAGTGAAGTTACTGGTATCAACTTGTGTCCATGACGTGATACAATGAGGACACTGTCCTAGACATGTACATCCTATGCATGTGTGTGTGTGCAAGAATGCTTCATGGCCATACTGGCACATCAGTTTACAAGTCAATGGAAGTCTACTATCCATTCTCAGTTTACTATCTCATAGGCGTGGAGCAAATTTGATCTGGACACACAGGAATTGTAGTTTTCGTTGATGAAAATCCTCTTGCTGTCCACTGAGCTCAGAAATGGCCACCATGTTCCGTTTTAAACAATACCATTATGCTTTTGGGGGGAAAGTGAGATTGAAACATTTTTGCGTGAAGAGAATCCCTTTTAATATATAAAAAATTTACTTCAAACTGATTCCGTTTTTTTTCTACTTTACACCTCTTGTTTCGGTTTCCAATACTTTTTGTGAGTTTCTCGCTGCGGTGTTTTGCTGCTTTTAGTATTACCCACGTACATGTATAATTACTCTGACACCCTTTCTGAATGCTAGCCCATTCAAACGTGTGCATGCCTGCCATACAAAACATGCTGGTATGAGGATTTGGGGACAACACTTACACACCTAAAAAATAAAGTTACAAATAAACAACATGGAAAGTTTTGCATTTTGTTGTTCATTTCCTTTCATATGTCACTTTTGTTATTCTGTACTGGAAGTAGAATTGTGAAATAAAATCAAGTTTTCCATGAGTTGTTGCTTAAAAATCGCATGCGACATGCAGTACGTTTACTCCGGTTCCTTCTGGTAAAATGACACTTTAATAAACAGGCTATGCCTGAATCCAGTAGCAGTGGATGTGCATACTGCAAATTAAGTAACAAATGATAAGTAACAAATGCAAGGGTCTATTCTGTTTCGGTGATTTTTTGAGGTCAAATCACCCGGCTTTGTATCAATTATCATGCAAAGTTTTTCACATCAGAGTTTCCAAGGTTGCATACATGCACTTGGCAGCTGGCCTTACGCACATGGCTGCCGTGGACACATACATAAACATGCATTGTAGGCTACCCGTGAACAGTAAAGACCTTGCTATGCATTAGCAGTTGTACTGTCGTAATAGTGACTTCCTTCAAGTTTGAGTTATTATTATAAGTTCTACATGTTTCTTTTATTTTTAGTAAATTTGTAATGTTCGGTAAAAGTGCATAAAATATTTGGGAGCCAAGGGGGATGTTCAGTATATCCAAATGTTCTGTATGGAGATGCTCATCAGCAGTTTTCCACGGTAGTGCCCTTTGGTTTTTTCATAGCAAAACTGCAGTGGCAGAACTAGGCTCATTGAATACACAGGCATACAAAAACACATTACATTTCTGGCTTTTAATGAACCTTGATTAATCTTTGCAAAACTGTGATATCATTCTGGGAGGAATGCTGAAAGTTGCAGTAACCAAATTTGTCTTATAAAGTTCCTTTTGCTTGTGAAATATCGTGTCTTTTGCTGATTCATTGTTATTTCAGTTTGTGACTTACATGTAGGCTAGTGAGCAAAGTTTTCTAGAAAATATTGTCAGAGAGCTAGTTTGGATAAACATTTGGACCACACTGTTCCTATAATAACAATGTATTTTTTTATAAAAAGTACTTTTTGTAAGAAAGTCCACACAGACTTGTCTTTATCAGTACTAGACACTCAGTGCTGTCTGAAGTTTGTGAAAACCACAGTTGGTTGGGACCTGAACCAACAACCTCTTGCTTACTAACGCAGACGTCATATTACTGAGCTTGCCAAGATTTGCTGACCGATTCAAGCCAGGTGTAAGTTGTCAAGTTTTATTCAGATGTTAAAAATTACATTATTTGAGAAAAGAATCACAACTTATGGAAATACATGTATTTTCTGTAGTCCCCACTGTTTATGTAAGTTGAACCAGCCAGCCAACCGTAGTAAGTTCAGTGGTCAAGTGGTAAGACATGTTGTACATTGTAATGAGGAGGTCATAGGTTTGAATCCCTCATGAGAAAGCTGTGTTTTCAAGACCTTAGACAGCACTGAGTGTACCTTGTTTATAAATACATGCCAGAGGCAAAACCCCCACAATAAAAATGCTAAAAGTGAACAGCGAGTTCTTAAATGGCATCACAGCAACAGTGCACCCATTTGTCTGAAAAAGTGTGGAAACCTTGATAGTTTAGATCATGTACTTTTTCATGCAAATAACCAGTACATTGTAATGGGTGCCAAATAGTGCTGATACTTATTGCACAAAAGTAATAGTATTGTTATGGACTCTTCAATGCTCATTAATAAAGACAGTAAGCTTTGCTATCTGAAGAAAGTCAAACTACCCAAGGTTAGGGGAAAATTGGAGAGTTACCATCCCTTTTCTGAAACTTTTCTCTGTTTTGCCTATTCTTGTTTGTACTTAAATTTAGTTGGAATAATACATTTTCTTATTTTGATGTGCCAACAGTTGTCTGAAGCACTTGGGCAAGTCGCACCATGATCTTACGCTGACACTGGTACCTGAATTGTTAGGAACCCATCCCTACTTTGATACACCAGAACCTGACATGGATGATCCTGCCTGTATCCTTACACTATCAGATCAAGCAATCTCGGAAACTGCAAAACAAAGGCTTTTGCTGAGATTGAATTAAATGCTGTTTTTATTGTTTACAATGTGAACAAAACTTCAGTGGTACGATTTAGTTTAAGAATAGTTTGTATAAATCTTATATGTCATGAAGGAATTGTACTGTTGCCCATAATTCATTTTATACTGTAGCCTTTAATCCTTCAAAACCGTTGGGAGGGATGGTATTAGTGTTTTAGGTCATGATCTGGTCTTGGTCTTGAGACCATCTCGAGACCTTTTTTCGTGGTCTCAGTCTCGGTCTTGGTCTCGTCCTATCAAAGTCTCAGTCTCGGTAGGGTTGGTCTGAGTCTCGAAAGTGCTGGTCTTAGTCTTAGTCTCTGTCTCGCATGTCAAAGTTTTGGGTCTTCAGGCCCCCCCTTGAGACCTGTCGAGACTACAACAAAATGTGCACCAAGCTACCACTCATGGATGCACTCGCCAGCTGACCTCTGCATGGGTCTAGTTTCCAACTAGATGTAAGTATGACACAGTTATGTTCGAATTTTCATAATAAAAGAATGAAATTGATGCTTGAATGGACTTCAGTCAATGTGGTGTGCTGCAACCTCTTCTTAGGTTGTTACTTATTTCCAGCACAGGAGGCAGCCTTGGGAAGTACATGTACATGTGTATTGCCCAACACGACGGAGACGAGGTTGGAAGCACAGTATGCAATTTAATTCACTGGCACACATCCACCGATTGTTGCATGTGTTTTTGGACAATGTGCATGTAATTACTATGCATGTGGCTTACTGCATGCTTTCATTCATATGCTACATGCTGTTACATTATGTGCTACCTTTTGTGACATCATCAGCTTCAAAAACTTCAGTTTGGAGAAACATCAGGGCACTGTCACATCATATGAATTGGCAGTAGTGGTTTTGTTTTGAGAAGTACATGGAGCTGACAGGGAGCAGTAAAGGGGGCAGGAAACACTGTTCAGAAGGCATGTTTGCACAAAGACTATTTCAGAGATATGCAGGATAGCTTCTGCATTGGTGTGATGCTGTTATGTAAAATGAGTTCACAAGCTTGGGCATTAGCGCCACACGAAATATCCCTCACTTAGCAACATGGAAGTATCAGTTTTATTTGCACCAGAGTGCTCCGGTTCAGCGTGTGGTCAGCACAGATTGAATTGTAACACGTCCTTACTGTGCCAGAATTTCAGCTTGAATCCTTGAAACTCTCATGTTAAGTGCAACAAGAACCTCTTATGTATTTGAAGTGCATGTCGATGTTGAAAGTATGTTAAACTTGATGCCATTTTTCTTTCCCTCTTTTTTCATCTCAATAAGTCAAGATCTTATTTGGATATCTATTTCTCTAGTTTTTGTTCATGGAAAAAGTTTTAATGTTCACATCAGTGGGGTCACTCAGGTTGAAAATGACCATTTCTTACATTCATTCACTATACCAGTCGTTGATTGTTTTCTGCCAACTGACATTCTAACCAGTCCAGTGATCATTAAAGTAGCATCACTGGTAAACTCAGACATTTAGCATGAATGTAAGGATCATATCATATCGTGAAAAGAATCACTCTTGGAGACAAATTCTGTGGTTATTTCAGCAGCATTCTAATTATTCGCTCGGTACAGACGACAAGCATGGTTTAACAAGCCTTTACCAAATGTGAAGATTTAATCCTTGCCAGTGCAAGGAGTAATACAACAGTACACATTTTGGCCACAATAGGAATTAGCAACAATACAACAGTCCAAGGAAGGGGTGACTGCAAACCTGAAATGCCAACCCGTGAACGCAAGCCAGCACCCTCAGCAATAGTTACTCATCCGTTTGCTCGTCCGTTAGTCGTGGAACAATGCTATGAGCTCAATGATAATACCATACAATTCTCAACTGCCCTCTTTTATTAAACTCCAACATTGAGCTTGTAGCCCAATAGGTTTTACCCATGTAGTATTTAAACCCCCATCACTGAACCTTTGAAGCATTGCAATCTGATTAATGCCCAAACTAAAGTCTTCATGCAGACCTTAGGTCAACTGCTAAGATGATGATAGTGCTCCTAACAATTCTCAAACTCAATACTTTGCCCAGCTTCACCTTTGAGCTTGTTCCATGGCTCCATAAACTACAAGATGCATCACTCCAAGTAATTAACTCAACAGTGCCTTTCTTCTAGACACAAATTAACAATAATGTAGCCCAATGATGTGACAATAACAGTTCTCATAACAATTCTCAAACTCAATACTTGCTAAGCTCCAACTTTGAGCTTGTTCTGTGGCTCCCTGAACTAGCGCTTGTGTCACTCCAAAGCACTCGACTCAACAATGCATTCCTTCTAGTCACATAGCAATAATGTAATAAGGCCACCTGCCAAATCGCAAAGTCTCGGTTTGTCGCCCTGCGTGCTCTGTACACTTTGAATTACACAGTGAAAAGACTCATTGTTCGGTGGCATGCGGCTCTACTCGCGCTTCCACATTCCTGTTGCCTCTTTTCAAAGTGGGGACTATTGTGAAGCTGGTGATTTTGATGCAAATTCAGCCTTTTCATTTCTTGACAACACACAAAGGCCAATCACCATATATACAAGAGCCAGGGTATGCCTTCTTTCACCGTGTTGGCTCGAGCGTGGGCCGAGAATAATAGCTGAAAAGCGGACTGAGTATCTCAATTTTTACGGCAGCTCTTACCGTCATCCATCGCGAAGGGGGTAATGACATGACAATAATTGTACTCATAACAATTCTTGACTGACTACTTTGCTAAGCTCTCACTTAAAGCTTGCTCAATCAGGGTGTGACTCAGAAACAAACATCTAACTACATGTGACTCCTTAAAATATACAATCTAACCTAAGTTTTTCTGATTTGTACTTTGTCTGATTTGGGGCCACTCTTATTTGGCTACAGGAACAAGTGGACGGGCCAAAACAAAACAACTTTATCTGACAGACATTTAAAATTTACTGGAGGCATGAATATTTTGGGGCTCACTGTACCGACCCTGCACTTTGAATGACAGCTTTAAAATCAGCAATTGGTCTATCTGGACCTTCATTTGATAAATACACCTATCAGTCAAAAACAAACTTTGCTAGGACGCTGAGATCCCCAGGTGGGTTCTAAGAGTTATTTAACTGACGTCTCTCAAAATTAGTTAAGTAATTTCTGACCCTATCAAGGGTTCTGTGATGAATTCTTTTTGAGCCACCCTCGGTGGTACACAACGTTCTGAAGGATTGCGGACTAAGTTATGCAACAGAGTGGAAGGAACAGCCGCAGTGTGCGAAAACACGGCCCCTTCAGCATGCTGGGGTATTAAGGGTCACTGTTCGCCCTTGTTGATCTGTTTTGGAATAGCAAATGCACACAAGTAGTGTAGGCCCATCAGATAATTCAATGTCCGATCGAGCGAGAACTTGGTACGTTTCCCCACTTCGCCAGTTACGGTGAATTCTCCCACTCTTAAGAACCCAAAGTAAGCCAAAAGGAAAGCAGCTCTGATTAGCAATGCCTCATTAGCAGAAGTGCATACTGCTGGTAGTGTTGGTATTTTTTGTGTCAATTTGTCCCACATGATCGGGCGCCTGGCACTCTCCTGTTTTCTTTTGTGCCCTAATAACAATTTCTTAATTAAAAAGTGCTGAGTCGGGTCTTGCCATTTATGGCTTTTGTGGACAAAGGCCAATCCTGCAACATGTAACGCAATTGAAGATGAAACCATTCCCTTTCAGGAGAGAGCTGCAATGAAGGCTAAGATTTGATGCGTTGTGACAGGCCACCCTTGTGCTAAGTGCACTTAGCCGGTAAATCTTCAAACACATTCACTGCCCGCTGGTACGCGTCTGTGGTGCCAGGAGCTAGCAACATGGACATGAGCCTATGGGCTTAATCTCACACAGCCATTTGGGTAAAGCAACTGGCTCTGCTCTCACATTTGGAGCAACCCGTTTGACTCTGTGAAGCTGAGAACGAGACAATGCATCCGCAATTATAGGTTTTTTTGGCCACATGCACCGCTTTGAAGCATGTGTTGTATTTCAAACACTAGCGCAAAGTGCCATGATTTGGGGGCATAGCGATGACTGTTTATTAATTATGTGCACAACCGACATATTATCCGTAAAAAATACAACTTGCTTCCTGATTAATTCATAACCCCATATTTCTGTGGCTACTACTATTGGGAACATCTCCTTCCAAGCAATCGAGTACATGTATGTTCCGTTTGTGACCTTAGTTGAAATTAAATGAAAATAGGCTTGGCAGTTCATGGTCATAATTAAACCATTTGCCTGCTAATGATATTGACATCAAAAGTCTGCAGCTTATCACAACTGCATTGTGTTAAAAAGTTTTGAGTCTTGAAATATTTAATCGATTTATTTGTAATGAAATGTTGCATATGTTAATTTCTTAATTTATATGGTAAGTATAATTTCATGGGCTTATGTTGCTTGTCTTCATTTATTTTTGTTGTAAAATAGTATACATTTTCAGTGTTTGGTCTTGCAATAGTCTCAGTCTTGGTCTCGGAAGACCATGTCTTTTCTCAGTCTGCAAAAGTGTCAGTCTCAACAGGCAAAAGTCTCGGTTTGGAAGTCTTGGTCTTGCAAGAGTGGGTCTCGGTCCTCGTCTCAGTCTCGAAGGCCTTGGTCTCAGTCTTGACATTGTGGTCTCAAATATATAACACTGGATGGCATACATTTGATAGTATCACAGCATAATTAGTTAAATTGGTCTTGCATATTTTGAAAATAGTTTAATGCTTTAGCACACAAGAATCTAAAGAAAAATGCAGGTTTTCCTTTATAATGAGCCAGTCATATGTGATTTGTCCTTAATGTTTGTTTGTAGATATTGGTGTGATGATTCTTATTTTGAATTCTGCAGCAGAATGCCCTACCATGGTATCCTTGTTTCCTGATTATACAATCAGACATTACTCATACCTGAGAGATAGCCTACCCCACCTTGTGCCTTATGTGAAGGTAATAGTTAATAGTTAAATAAAATAATAATAAAATAGTGGGCCCAATTTCGCTTTACTGCTAATCACACAATTTACGTAAGCAGTAAACACAGCTAAAGGCTTACTCTCAGAGAAAAATTTGCTCAGCTTAATAGAGACGTAACCATGGATTGATTCTCTTTAAACGCCCATGCAATTTTTGTGCCAAGCTCAACCAGTGTGAAATGTTGTCCGTGAAATACACTTACCGTCAAGCACACTTTTGTGCTATGGGTAGCAAAAAGAAGTTTGCTTAACGGTAAGCAGCACCTTGAAATTGTTCCCTGGCCATAGACATTTGATGGTGAGGTGATGGTAATGAGCTATTAGTCTATCATTTCAAGGTAATGTCGTTCTTGGTTGATGTAAGTTTGGTTAAGGTGTTACTGCCTTTGATTAGAAAAAAATGGAATTTATATTGTGAGCAAAGGCCAAGCTCCACTACCCTCAGTGTATAGATATCATTGATAGAGATGAAACAGCAAAACATAAGCTACACTTAGGGAGTGGTTCTTGCATAGAAAAATCTGGAGTGTCACTTGGTAGTCGCATGATTGTTAGCTTCGACCTTCATCCTTTTGGGAAATACTAGTACAAGAACTGAAGAAGTGAAGGTGCTCTTCATTAGGCAGATTACCATGTAGTATCCTCAACAAGATAATTAGATTGAATAAGTTGAAAGCTGATTTTAACCAAATGCACATGTCAAGGACAGTCTTCAATTTTTGGACGTCTTCATATGTATTTTTCATGTACATGGGACTGGTTCATGCTGGAAGCTGATGCAAGTGAGAGATGAATTTGATGTCTTGAAAATTTGCTGAAGTTGTGTCCAACCTCAGTGAATTTACAGTGCTTATACCATCTGTAATTCAAAAACAACTTTAAAGGTGGTGCACACCATTAGTAAGCTCACAAAATGGGGATTGCCAAATAATCCTAAAATTGCATGCTTGGAATTAAGTCTAGCTACGAAGTCTGTGTTCCTGGAATACTGATTTTCTTTGTGTGCAAACAGAAATTTTGTACTGTTTTCCAAGGATGGTAGGCTGACTGTAGTTGGCAAATTATACAGTATAATACAGTAATACATTCCAATTCATAATAAAACAAACTGTATAGTGCAGTTTGTTTTAATATTACGTCTGTTAATGGGTGCAAGGTCAAGCATAAGTAGTGTGTATTGACAAAGACTATGTGTGATGCAGGCATGCATGTTACGATTGTGGCACATGGAACTGTTGTAGGAGTTCACGTTATGGTAAAGAGGCTTTTGATAAGCGCAAAACTTTTATAAGAGGTAAATAAATGAATTCATAGGCTAAAAGAGAATTTGGATTAATTTGAAGTTACATTTTACAAATGGAGATTTTTTTTTTCATCTCACCATCATCCCTCTTAAGTATTAAGACATCCTTTGCTGTATTGCACCGGGCCAATATGGCTCCCCCTTTCTGAGAGGTACAGAGAGTTCTGTATTATTGAACAAAACTAGTTTCCAGATAACTAACCTCCCGTTTTCCACCTTCAGTTTACTTTGTGCCCATAATTAACAATTTGGTACCACATTTGTCAGTTGAAAATGTGTTTTGGATGTACACTGAAAGGTATGTTGATGGATTTTGAATGGAAGAAACATGTGGACACGTTCGTGACATTCATGTTGCCTTAAATGCAGACTGGTTTTACTGCAAAATGAAAGGTTCTTTATGAGTATTTGAATATACAGCTTTTAATTTTTGAATAAAGGTACTGTTATGTAGACATTACTCTGGCTATGAAAAACTGCACATTTAAGGGGACCACACAGACCTTGTCTACATTTGTTAGCGATTCAGATTTAACCAGATTTTTTTATTTATTTCCATGTTTTCCAATAGGAAGACTGCTTTTGCACTGTTGTCGATCTGACTGAGTTTGCGTTAGGGGCACACATCAAGGCCACAAGCTAGAAAACTTTCCTATACATTAGACCCTAATAGACCTTATGTGATTTTTTCTTCATCAGGAGACAAGTCAAATGATATTAAAGGGGCACTCTTTAAAACACTGTATCTCGTGAAGTACATGTCCAATTGGGTTGAAACTTTGTGTATTCATGTAGCTTGAATAGGAAGGGTTTTAGACTCAGATTGACCTCATGTGATTATGACTTCATCTGGTGACAAGTCATGTGATATTAAAGGGGCACTGTTTAAAGTGCTATATCCTAAGCAGTACACATCCAATTGGACTGAAACTTTGTGTGTAGCTTGGAGGGGAAGGGTTTTAGATCCTGACTGACTTGATGTGATGATTACGTCCTCAGGTAACAAGTCACATGATATTAAAGGACTCTTTAGAGCATTATATCTGGTGAAGTACATGTCCGATTGGGCTGTAACTTTGTGTGTAGCTCTAAGATGAAGGGTTTAGACCCAAATTCATTTGATGTGACAATGAAGTCATTAGTGACAAGTCATGTACGTGACATTAAAGGGGCATTTAAACCCAATATCTTGTTAAGTACATGCCCCATCTGGATGAACTTTGCAGATAGCTAGAAAGGGTAAGGTTCGAGATGGAAATTGATTTCATCTGATAGTCGTAAAATTATATGACAAGTCATCGACATGTATCAAGATGACATGGATTGTAAACTTTCCATTGTTTTATTTCCATTTGGGGCCATTATATAACAATTTAGTTCAATGATTTTTTTGAAAACCCTTTTAAACCGAAGCAGCTTCGTGCTTCCCCACCCCCACGGTCTTCTCTCCTTAAAATACATGTACAGTGTAGAATATTTAGAATAGTGTGTAGAGCATCACGTTGGTGATGAGTACTTTAAAGTATTTCTTTCATTTTAAGCGTGGCTAAGATAAGATATCTTGGACATCAAGGAATCCCCCCGAGGTTTTTATGATGACATTGCAATTTGTGATCAGTTCAGATGTTACAGTATTCAGAGGGGTAATATACTACTCATTGATGTTCTTGTCTTACAGTACATATCATCAAGGAGTTTGGAGTCATCACATGGACCACTTAGTGATGAGCAGGGCCATAGTATTTTCCTTGCCCAGACTCTGGAAAATGTTCAGCATTTAGACACTATGAGTAGACAGTCTGCGGTCAGTCTTATGCAGCTTATTATCAGGTAGGAGTATACATTTGTGATGTTCAGCGTGTTCCATGCTTTTTGCAGACATTTGAAGAATGGGAGATTATATGTGAAGTATTGAAGTGAATATTGGCTCCAGAGAAATGGATATTGCATAACAAACTAGCAAAAAGGAGTTGTACTGTGTGTCTATGCTAAAGGTCAGACCCAGTGGCCTTTTGCATTTTGAGGTGTATTCATTATGTTTGATACAATATTTGTAATGCTACAAAAATGTCTTAGAGATGCAGCACTTTCAACCTAGCAATTGCAAATAATCAGTTGAAAATAAATTCTTTCTTGAATACCAACAGATGCATTTCTATATCCTGTCAAGCTGAGTAACAAATTATTAATGGGGTTTTAACACCATATCACTATGGAATGCACAATATTGGCCTAAGTGATAGGATGCATCTTCATTTGTCTGTATGTTTTATCATGAATTATGCAGGGCTTCAGCATTCATCTTACCCAATTAGCATCTCCCCTTGCATGTTTTCCACTTTCTAAAGTTTGATCAACTATAGTGCACCATCTATCAACCACGATGTATAGTGAAACGGTGCTCATAATCTCTTTTTCTTTGTATCATAGCAATGGACATGTATGTGTGCAGTTACTTGAATTATTTGCGTTTCCATGCTTTGCTGATAGCTTACTGTTCGATATTGATCATTTGTGTTGTATATTCTGTACAGATAAGAATACAGCTATAGTTAGTGTTTTTTGTCTCTGCTTAAAAATTTGCAGCTTTTTAATTAGTCCCTGTGTTGGGCTACACACGGATTTCCTAGGGTTGACCGTTGAGCAGGCTAGTCTTTCTGGTTGATTAGTTCAGGGGTCAAAGCTCTGTTTTAGATTATTTTCTCAGTATGAAGGTTTGTACACGAGTGAAAGAAAGAGTATGTGTATTTGTAAATAAAGCAAGAAAGAATGAAGAAAAAGAATATTGTTTCCTCTAACCTGGGATGTTGAAAGTGTGCACCTAAATCAACCAGGGAGGCTGCACTGTCCATTCATCCCTCAGCACCAATTCAATATTCTGATTTGAAAATGGAGGATGAAAGAGACACTGCAAGGCCATCAGCCCCTTGCTAATTTGGCCAATTCATCAGACTGAGAAGAGTCACTGGAAGTTAGTGGTCTGTAATATGAAACCTAGCTTTGCATATTACAAAGAGACAGGGGACATATGCTTGAACTACTGTCCACAGCATAACCCGATAAGGTGTCAGTCCTTCAAGCTGTGTACTGTCCCATTAGAAAAGAAAACTCCTGTCTTTCCTCAGCTTGCATTTGATTAACTCAGTGCTGAGTGAATAGAAAACCTTGTGGAGGTGAATGTTTGGAGACCGCACTTGCAATGAATACTGTGCTATTCCAGATTTTGATCACTGTTTGCAGGTTCTATAAGTGCCTGACTAGGCAAAGGACAAGCTAGCAAATGCATTCTTACCAATTGCTGTTGTTGGAATACTTGGTCTGCGCATGTGAGGAACAATTACCAATCTCTTCTGACCTAATGGCAATACCTCTCGGGTGCTTCGATGAAAAACTGCATTCACTAGAATCTTCCAGCTAGTAACTTCCCCTGCTGCACAAATGCCTTGGACACTGTGCTCCTCCCATATGAGGGGAGTGAAGGCAAGACCACAGGATCTTATTCAACGTTCAGTTCCAAGAGTTATTTGAAGCTGATGCAAAACGAATTGACACCACAAAAGAAGCTCAGCCTGTAGAAAGGTACTGTCAACACTTGATACTTCACATCCAAGCAAGCATCCAGACTAGGTGTGGGCGATTTGTGAATTTCAGTAGTCGTGGTGACTATCAATAAATACTCGTAGTCGCAACTAGTCGACTAGTTGCGACTATTAGCAGTGTTTTTTTATCCATTTAATCCATGTTTGTGGTTGCATAACAAAGCACTGGATTAATTTTGGACAACGTAACACTGTGTGTTCCTCTTATTTCATTTGTATGGTTAGATATCACACTTTTGTGAACGAAATATGAGGCTGGTTTTTTTAGATAAAAACTTTCGTCAAAATTGCTGTTGATATTCCTTATTTGTTTCTCTGCTTACTTGCTACAACTGTTTGGAAGAAAACCTTGATCATTTTCCACAATGCAATCAACAACTTTTCTGGAGGTGAAAAGCACATGCCATTTACAATTATACATTCAGCAATGTCCAACTGGTGTCAGACCCATGGCACAATGCTGTGATTATCACAGTGGAGGAGGACAGGGACCAGTTAATGGCCGGGCCACACCACACCACCACTGCGGGCTGCCTTCACAGTTGTCAAGTCTGATGTTCGTAAAAATATCAAATAAACATTGATGGAGAAGGGAATTAGTGGCAGGTTTTATCCACAGAATATATTTTCAGTGTATGTATTCAGTGTTTTAATGTCTCTATATCAAGCTTGTACTGCTTTTACAAGAGGCAATACCACCATTCAGCATCATGAATTTTCGAGAAATTTTATTCTGCTGCGATATGCATATGGTTTGTGGTTCATTTCGCATGCAGGCCTGCCACATGCACAGTGCAGCCATGCTTAAACTGCTCAATATGTCATCATGACTTCATTTTTTGTACATTTTTAAGAATCAACAGCTGTAGATATATTTTTACAAATGATCAGTGCAAGGTTTTGTCACTTTTGAGAGTCTTTATTTCGACAGCTAACATCCAAACTACTTTGTTGTTGGTACATGTAGCTAATAGAAAAGATAAACTCTTGATATTTCATAAAAGGAATTGTTCCTACATGTTTTGGCGGACGAGTTTCATACAGGACACTGATTTATTTTACCACAATATCGTCACTTTCCTGGTGTTTTATGTACATGTACATTAAAAGTATGCTTCTACAGCATACATAGAGTTGTCTACCTGAATGTTAAGGAGTCTACAAACACGCATGATGCATGTTGATGGGTGAGAAACGTCGTGGATGGTCAGTCACATTCACATGACTTGGAGACTTCCATTTTCTATACAGGGTGTATCAAAAAAATTCCCACTTTGAAAAATTGCCCTTAAATTAATTAAATATTCTATAATTTTTGGAAAATCCCTTTACATAGGTTGATAGTGGTTCAGTGCTTTTTGCGCAATTGTACATATGCAACATGCCACGCATGAATGAGCACCTGCTAATTACGTAAACTGAGATGCATCTGTTTTGCGCAACAAAGTGCTGGCAAGAAAACAGGATCTGAGACCATTCAAAATAAATGTTAATAAAGAAGACAGTGTGTACATCTAACACAAACCTTTTATATTTAACACACATTCCTAAAACATAACAATCCAAAGTTTAAAGCACAGATGTATGGCGTTGTTCATGAATAATGACATCTTCAAGCAAGAAAAAATCAACTTCATGCCCACGTTGTTCACACTTTATGCAATCATGTACGGATCAGACACGACAAGTCGCAGCGGTGATGTACTGGCTCTACGCCCGCACAACTACTGCGACTAGTCGACTATACCATCAAGAAAGGACACAAGATATTGGTGGTCACTCACAACTATCAAGTTGTGCATTGTGCACGATAGTTGAGCAAATCTCGGTGTACAAACTTAATGTAAATGTACATGGGCTTGGTGCATTGTGCATCATCAGCGTGCAGATGCACTGCACACAACAGGTGAGTGCTGTGTCACAGTGGTGCGGGGACTGGGTACTAGTTCTTGTTCTAGGCACATACAGGTGAATAGTCGTGGGGGTGGGCTACGAGTTTCGACCACTAGTTGTAACACAGTCCGGCTAGTCACCGCATTACGACTAGTCAAATCGAGATATTGATAAGCGTGACCATCAATACCTTTTGATATTGGTGACTTGTCAACTACTCACACTAGTCACATAGGCCTTATCCAGACTGGGACCTTCTTTCATTCCAAAGTTCACAGACAGTTAAAGCCCTTTCAGAACCACACCCACCAGTCGCAGAGACCTTCACCAGGTATTACACTTGTGGCACAACTGCAACAGTCAACCTGTCACCCACACCTTGTCCACCAACTTTAGCATCAAGGGTACTCTAGGGGATGGCAATGATGACTCTTTCGCTTCAGGGCTGCAGGCCCCTATTTTCAAACCTGTTGAGGGCTGCCTGAGATCTTACATAGGGTTCTGTAAGAGATCACTTTGGACATATGGGTGATCACAATGGAGCTACATGTATATATAAAAACTACAGCACTGACTCATGTTCAAAGTGATGCTTGCTGGGCACATCTATATTTGTGCACAAACCTATGGAAAACTCAAAATTTTGTACAACTTTTTGTATGGCTATTTGCATATCTGCATCTGTATTCTAAAGCGATACATCAACAAAGCCGATACGCAAACAATCACTAAATGAGTGTTTCATCTTGCTCTGTGCCACAAAACACAATCGTGGGTGCGTATGCACTGTTGATTTTATTGGTATCTGATGCACACGACAGCTGCTGCTCCAGAGCCGTCAACTCACTTAACACTGACTGAATTAAGGGAACAACGTTTTAATGTAGTTTAATTTATTCATTGAAAACGGCCATCGAAAGACATGCATACGAAATCAGATTACTTTACTCGAATGTTTAAGGAAATACTCCTTTTAAAATAATCAGCTGTGGGTGTAAATAAATATGTGCTATTACTCTGTACGTGTGTGTCTTATTCAAAAGACGCGCTGACGTTCAGGTATGTTGTACTTGTGCATTGCATTTCGATTACATTATTTCGAATGTTTCTGCAAGCATGTACATGGGTTCATAATGTCTGCACCCAGGCTGGTGTCAAATTTTCTCAACATGGAGAATTAGAAGTTCGCAAGCTACCTTTATATATAGCTCTGTGGTGCTCACAAATCAGCCAAGGATGTTCCTGTCCAAATCCCCACTCCGTGCAACTCCATGGACCTAGAAAAAAAAACAAACTGACTAGCACTCTTCTGTACCAGATTTACACACCTACTGGCATGGGTCCTAGATGTACTGATGTGCAAATTGGGCAGCATTTTTATCTACATTTTCCCCTCTGAACATCACTAATCCCCAGGATACTGGCGAAGATAGTATGAGAACAATCACCAGTTCTTCTTGTCACCCCCTTCCTGCCATGGCATCCATTTCCAAGGTTGACCTGGTTCCTGGTCCAGCAACCATTGATTCTTCCTCACCGACCAGGTGTAATCCTACAACTGCGGTCAGGCAGGATCTCCACCTGACATACTGGCCTTTATGCAGTGAGCCTCCCAAGCAGAAGGCTGTTGTAGAGACACTGCCTCCATGGCCACACGCAGACAACAGGCAACAGCAGACTACACTGTATTGCTATATGGTGGAGGGAACAGTCACTGGATTTATCTGACAAATCTGTGACTGCAGTAGCAGATTTTCTGCTGCACCTATTTAACTCGGGCTTCATGGAAGTGACAATTCACAACTTCTGTTCCACCTTTGTGGAAATCCACAGTGGTTTCCCTGATGGACCCTCCAACTTCTCTTGCTACCTGCCAGATGTCCTGCACTCAGGCAGCATCTCCGCCGATGACAGCAGGACTTTCATCACATGTTCCATCTCAGAAAGGAATGCCCCCTAAAACAACATCATCTGTCTTTAGAAGTGGGTGACATCCCCTTTTAAAACCTTCTATTTATAGTTTTCGGTCATGGAGGATTTTAAAGTTGAAACCCCCAAAGTTATGTGTCCTTGAAAGTAACCACCAGGAAATAATGAAGCTACTCTGCTTAGGTAGGTGCTATTTTGGTAAGATGAATGCTGTAGACTCCCCTCTTCATCGTGGTGCGAGTCTACTACAGAATTCTTATCCAAAGAGCGCTCCCTCCCACCTCCCACTGTGGCTCAGATGTAGGAGCACTTATGAAAAAGAAAGGAAATTGTGGGCACAGCACCACAATACATTGTGTGAGATAGAGGGTGCACTACTTTTGATCACACTTTGGTGAATGCCTTGACTTCACTGATAAGTATTCTCTAGCTCCATACTTATATGGGGATTTGACATAATAGATGGCAAACATTGCAGCTAGGTGCATGGGAAGTATTTGACCACAAAGCTTATTGAAGCTCACCCATTATTAGCTGTAAGATCAACAGATCCAAGAGGTCACAAGCAGTGCAAGAGATACATGTATTCCCATCTTAGATGTTGTTTCAGACTTTATGTAAAAATGTTGTTCATTGTGACCAGTCACTTTCTTTATACCTGTGCGTGTTTGTTTTTACAGGGATCTTCATAGAGTAAGTGCAGCTGAACCAGGACTGTCAGCATGTGCAGACTTCTGTGCTCAGTACATTCAGTGCCAGCTAGTTCTAAATAAGGTTTGTTTCTTGTCCCATTTATAATCACTGCAAACATACACGCAGTACGATATCTGTACTGTATTGAGTACCCACTGCCTTGCATGTTACATTCATGTCGCACAGAAATTTCACATGGGCATCTTTGTTCTAGCATGTTGGAGTTTTGGGGGGCCAAGATGTTTTGTTTACACCTGTAAAGGGTACATTTAAAATAAGCTAAAAAGAATGAGTCATACATGTTTGAGTGTGGTTCTGTATTCAATAATTGTTTATCAGCTTTTCCATCAAAACCTTGCTTTCTTGGTCATAACACGCTTCGTCGATTTAAGCCCACTGCACTCATCCTACCCAAACAGTTGCTACTTAAGCAAATTTCCTTCCACGCCTTTGTAATTCGTTAAAACTTGATCAACTGTAGTGCGCTCTTTAGTGCTACAATGTGGCACAGCGCCACCATCTTATTCATCCTTCTATTTCTTAGTACCATTGTTAATGGATGTGTCAATTTGGGCATCTTCGAATTTCTTGAGTTTTTCATTTCGCTGTATCTACGGTGGTGACCTGATCAAACTGTAATGTATTATAAATAAATCAATTTTTTTACACTGTGTCCTTTTTCCCTTATGTATCATTGCCTTGATTTCGATGATTTGTGACGCACTTCTTTATCGTCCATATGCCCTTATTGCATCACGACCGTACATGTCTCTTTTCTCTTTTCTTGTTTTGTGTGTTTATATGCATACTGTACCTGTAGTGTTTCCTACATTGATTCTACAAGGGATTCCTTGTACACAATACCTTGATAGAGTCAACCAAGTGATTCTAATATATTGGCTCAGAAACAGTAAGATTTTGGTTAGGCACGGCCTTTTAACCCCTATCTATTGTTGCGTTTCCTACAACGTAATCAGGGTGCTGATGTTTTTCTCGGATACACAGTTACTTGGGGGTTCACCTTTGAGCAACACGCAGGACAGTCTACTGAGCTGCCTCCACCTCGGTTCCCTTGCTTGTGTCTGTGTGGAGGACGAAGCCTACCATAGGGGCTCTTACATGAACCACCATGCCAACCCAGTGAGCTAGCCAGGAAAACAGTTAGCGCAAGGCCTGCCACCGTAGCCTTCTGAGACAAACCATGGAGGAGGCTGGCCCAGGTCTCTCCCCTTGGCCCAAACAGCCACGACGCACATAAGCCCACTGGCATCTGAGACCTTTTTAACAGGGTTACCCAGGTGTGAACCAGACAATAGCACTTCCAAGGCAACCTCCTACCACTTGCCGACACTGCCCTGGTGAATGCGCCATTGGAATGTGGATCCACCTCCGCTGCCAAACGTCATTCTGTCCTTCGGCTTCTCCTTGGGGCTCTCCAGCTAGATTGCGTCTGATTCCACTATACTGCGGCCCTTTTTCCAAACATGAACCCAAGGTCGACCATTCTTCTGTCACTTCTTCCCGTCCGATTTCGTCTGCAGATTCTACCGTAGGTTTTCCATGCGTAACTAACACAAACTTCCTTCATCTTCTGCCGGGCAACCAGCAAGAAGTTGCAATTCTCCAAACATGCATTTTCTTCCGCTATCATCTCGTCTTTCCAGTCCTTCTTTAAGACACTCCCTTCATTGGTCTGCGGCCTCAATCTGAAGCCTACACAGTCCGCTACAGCTCCAGATCTTAACCCTCTGCCTGCTGATCCTCATTCACATCCGCCCTTTGTGACCTTTTCTGACCAATGCAGACATGCATTTGGCTGTCAGTGCAGGCTTGGATAATTCAGCAGACCATCAACCCTCATCTGAACCTGTACACGACCTCACTCAAGATATGCAGTAAGACCTGGTCCAGTCACAGTTAGACCTTCAAGATGCGTCTTCTAGGGATGAAGATAAAGACTCTGCTGCTAGCCTTTTGCTTATTAAGGCTCATCTGCATCTACTCCCGAAAGACATGATTCAGCTCCTGGGTCTACCCGCCTCGTCACTGGTCAAAGAGAACCTCAAGTCACGCCCTTCCTTCAAATGTCATGTGGCCAGACTGGAAGCCTCGGCACCGCTTTCTCCAGAACTACCCTCTAGACCGTTCATGCATCGAAATGTACAAAGTCCTCTCCACCAAAACGCTGGTGACAGTACCCGGCTAGCGCTAGAGCCTATTTCGAATTCCCCCGGAACAACTTCACCAATTTTCTGTCTGTTCTGGATTAACCTACTGCCACTAAAGACAAAATTGCCTCCGACTCAGCTAAGTCTTCCAACAACAACCCCTTCCTCAACAAAGACAAGTCCAACCTGGAACTTACATCGTACCTTAACCAAGTTGGATAGAGCCTCTCGTCATGGTCTCCAATGTACTGCTTTTCTTTCACTCTTAATGAAATACCTTTCTTATGCGTGTGAAAAAATTCTCCTGTTTCTCCAGACCTTGCTGCAGTTGCTGTCAGGGCTCTGGATAAAATCATCAACTCTATCTTTGAGCTATTCTTGTGGATTTCCTGCCTAGCTACATCTTCCCACAGAGCTATTGCTCTTGACATGATAAATATTTCGTATGAAGGTGTCAAAACTGAATTCAAAGCCTCCCCTTACACAGGGAAAGACTTATTCGCAGGTCAGTTTCTGTGAACCTCCTCCACTTCCTCGTCAGCAGTCGGCCTCCAGTTGCAGATATAGTCAGATCAGATCTTTCCCTCATTAGCACCTTGGGTACCGCAACACCTCTTGCTCCTTTTGTCCGCTGGGCACCAGTCAAATTCTGCTTTGCCCTTCCCTTCTCAGCCCATGCAAACATCACAACAGGAACACAGACCCAGGGGGTACACCCAGTGCTACTCCCGTCCACTCAGGGGTTGGCACCGATGACTACCCTGTTTCATCTGCGGCTTCTGTTCCTGAGCCTGCAGGAGGCCGCCTACAGATGTACGCAAGGTTCTGGCAGGACATCACATCGAACAGATGGGTACTCGCAACTGTTTTTCTTCACTACTCCTTCAAACTCATAAGTGCCCCTCTGTTGACCCAATTCTTCGTCCAACTCAAATCCCCTCAACAAGAACAAACAGCAGGCCTTGGAGACAGGAATAAAGTCTCTTCATCTGAACCATGCCATTTTCCCTATTCCCCTAAATGACAGCAATGTGGGCTTCATTTCAATGTTCTTCCTCACACCAAAGAAGGAACCTGGCAAGTGTTGACCAGTTGTCAACCTAAACAGGTTCATCCATCTTATAAAGTTCCACATGGAGACTCTCCGAACGGTGACTTAATCCCTGCCAATTCTAGCCTTGTCTTTGTCGATGGATTTGAAAGATCTTCACATCCCAATCCACCCATGGGACTGCAAGTTCCTTCAATTTATCCGCGATGAAAGAACCTTCGAGTTTCCAGCCCTGCCGTTCTGTCTCTTGATGTCCTTAAGGGTCTTCACCAGAATGGCAAACATTGTTGCCGGTACCTATACCAGTTTAGACGCCCTGATAAGCCAATACCTTGACGATTGGCTCATTGTAGGCAGATCTCTGGATGAGGCGGCAACTTCCACTCACCTTACTTGCGAGGTTACCAGCCGTCTGGTGTTCCTTATAAACCGTGAGAAATCGAGACCTGTCCTACACAGAATCTGACTTACCTAGGTGCGGTTCTCCATCACACCAGCTCCTGAATGCATCGACAATCTCCTGGAGTGTGTCGGTCTCTTCATACCTTGCCAATCAGCCCCAGCCTGAGCATGGCTACGTCTCGTTGGCCTGATGGCAAGCTGGTGGACCTGGTACCTTTTTGCCGTCCTCATATGAGGCCCATCCAGCTCCACCTGCAAGTATACTTCTGACCCAGATGGGACTCGATCAACCTTTTAGTTCCCATTTCAGACTTCATCCACCCAGGCAACTCATATCCTGGGAACCAGCAACTCCATTGCAGACACCCTCTCCCAAGGAAGGATCCACCCAACAGAGTGGACTCTGCACTGCATTGTCAATCTTCAAGGTACTCGAAAAACCACATATCAACCTCTTTGCCTCACCAAAGCATGCCCAGCTTCGGATGTTCTGCACCAGGTTCCCTCACCTGCAAGCCTGGGTGACTGATACTCTCCATGTCAGCTTGGAAGGGATGCTTGCCTCCGCCCTTCCTCAAATATCCCTAATCCTGGCAGTGCTGTCCAAGATCAAGCAAGAGGCATTGCCATGTTCCTTTCATCACTCCATTCTGGCCTCATCAGCCGTGGTTCTCCCAATTGACAAGGCTGCTAGAACTGGTCCCTCTCATCCTTCCACTCAGACTTGACCTTCTCCATCAACCAAAGTCCAACATCCTTTATCCTCAGCCACCGGACCTCCACGTGACCTGTTGGCCATTTTCCAATGATCATTATGTGCAGCGGGCCTTTCTAATGAAGCTGCTGAAGTGCCTGCAAGAGATCCACACCAGTTAACTTGAAAACTTTTTACTTCATGGTGCAAAGAATAGGGTTCATGTGGCTCCAACCAAGGCATCTGCAACTGCAGTAGGCGACTTTTTCCTGTTCTTATTCAACTTGGGACTGAAGGTAGCAACCATTCTCAACTACCGATCTGCCATCACAGCTATTCACAGTGGTTTCCCGGATGGCTCCACTCTATCAGACAACAACACCTTAAACACCTTCCTTGTGGTATGTTCATTTAGCATCCCCCCTCAAGACAGCTCATTCCCTCCTGGAACCTATCCCATGTCCTTTAGCTCCTTCCAGGTCATCCTTCTGAGCCCCTCAGTGAGGCCTCTTTACCACACACCTCAGTGAACCTGGTTTTCTGCTCACCATAACCACTCTGCGCTGAGGCAGCAAGCTGTGGTTGTTATCCATCACAGACGGTCACATTAGATGGGCGTGGGAACCACATGGTGTGCGTTTCATCCCAGCCTTGGGCTTCCTCACCAAGAACCTATCATTCCACCCACCAAAAATCGTCTTTCATGACATCACAAAGCACTCCGGTTCTCCTGATGACAAGCCATAGGGTCCAGTTCAAACTCTCA